AGGGCTGTCCCATCGCACTTGACAATGCATTATCTCTTCACTCTGCACCTCGACCGGAGAATTGCATTTTGTCATCCTCTTGCCCATATTTGCTTCCTGCGAAACCCAGGGAGGGGTGCCTGGCCCAGAGTGTGCACTCAACCAGTGATGGTCGTGTGTGATCCCACTCACAGGCCCCCCACTTATACTCACTCCATCACTCTTACATTTGGCTCTATCCCAATGTTACGTTTTCTTCTGACTCTGCTTGTGGTGGTGATGATGGTGGTGGAGTTGGAGATTTGAATTTACTATTATCTCCTGCAGTTATTTGGAAAATAGGCCTATTGCTTTTAGTTCTGCGAGTGCTTACCTTACATCCTCTCAAATACATCAGTAAACCGGTTCATCTCCCCTGAGCCAGGTAGAAATAGGGAAGTGGGAAATGGGACTTTGTATAGTCCACAGTTATTTAAACGAGGATTTTGGAGGGCACTATCAGGCGTCCACACTTAGGCTGCCATTTGCCATCATGTCAGCTCAACCGCTTTGAAAAGGCACAGAGCTCTGGTTTCAGACCTGTTCATCTCTGTCCTGGACTTTCCCATTACCCAGCTAGCCGTTGTCAATACGTCTGGCCTTATCTCCCTCTGTCCTCCATTTGCTCCTGATGAGATCTTGCTGAAAGTACACCTGGGCAGGTCATTCTTGGCTTAAAACCCTTTAGTGGTTTCCTGTTGGCTGTAGGATAAAGTTCAAACTCTTCAGCCTGGCGTTCGGGGTTCAGGGTGTCGTGTGATCTGGCCCTATCTTAACTTTCTAGGCCCTTCTCCGGCCACATGGAACCACTCACTTCTGTGCTACCCCATGGGTTTGCATTTTGGTTATCAGCTGCTCTGGTCACATGTTCTCATACCCTCGTAGCTTTGGTCATGTCATCTTCTATGTCTAGAATGCCCTTTGGTAAAAGAACCCAGCTTGGCGCTGGGCCAGTTGTAGATTCTCAGTAACTGGTAAGCATCCCCTTTCCTTTCTTACAGTCTATCAAAATCCTACTCATCCTTCAAGGATCAATTCAAATGTCATCTTTTTCCCTCTCAGGGCAGATTTGTCCTACCCTGACTCCCTCCCCCTGGTACCACTGGCCGCCCCTCCTCTATGTCCCCAGCATCTTGTACACATGTGTTGTAACCCTAGCACCTGGGGGCTTGGCGTCTCTCCTGTCAGACTGAAAGCTCCCTGAGAGCAGAACCGGGCCTGACGCCGGCCAGAGCCCTGCATGGACCTGCGAGCCCGGGCTTGTCGAGCGCATCGCCTTCCTCAGCCCGCAGGGATGCAACACGGAGCTCCAAGCTCCGAGGCGGGGCACCCTGGGACTGGCTGCCCGATCTGGGTAGATACTCACTTATTGTTCATATCCTGTTGCGTCCAAAATTGATTAGAGGTGGGCCACACTCAATACAACTGTTAAATTAGAAACAGAAAATTGCCACCTGCACATGGAAGTGGCAAGGTGCCAAAAGAAAGCGTGAACCTTCTTTGTTGGGTGAACTCGTCTTGCGTGGAGGAGCTCGCACTGGGGTCTTCCAGCTGGGGCAGCAGATGGGAGGGTCTCCTTTGGCCTAAACTCTTGCACTCCCCTCACAAACTGTGGTCCTGTTTGAAAATGTCTGAAAGGTGGCACGCCTGGGTGGCTCAGTCAGTTAAGCATCTGCCCTCGGCTCAGGTCACGATCCCAGGATCCTGGGATCGAGTCCCTCCATCACGCTCCTTGCTTGGCAGGAAGGCTGCTGCTCTCTGTGCACTTGCTGTCTCTCTCTGACAAGTAAACTTAAAATTTTTTTTTTATATATTTTTTTATTTGACAGACACAGCAAGAGAGGAAACACAAGCAGGGGGAGTGGGAGAGGGAGAAGCAGGCTTCCTGCTGAGCAGGGAGTCGGATGCAGGACTGGATCCCAGGAACCCAGGATCATGAACTGAGCTGAAGGCAGACACTTAATGACTGAGCCACCCAGGCGCCCCTAAAATCTTTAAAAAAAAAAAAAAGAAAAGAAAAGAAAGAAAGAAAGAAAAAGAAAATACCTAAAAGGCAACAAGGAGAATTTCAGTCCATCCTTGCAGAGTTTGGGCAGGTGGTGAGGCAGGCGTTGGGTTTGCTATGTGGCGGGATTTGGGTGGAGATCACTTGGTTCCGCAGGCTAAATTTAAAAAGCTTAGGCCCTTTCTCAAGGTGACCGTATAGCACAGTTGTGGTCTAACCATGGCCCTGTGCAATCTACCTCATGTGGCTTTCTGATGGAAGCCAAGGGCATACCCTTAAAATGTCAACCAGGGAAGCTCTTTGAGCGGGAAAACCCATTGCCAGGTCTGAGTTGAGTGTGAAGACTTACACACCCTTTAGAACTCACAGAGGCACATACTGAGATCCTCCCCATGCCCATGCCCACCAGCACGCCATCCAACAAATGTTCTTGTGCAGACCCATTCAGCAGCAGGCACACCACACACACTCATGCACACTCCTGGGTATGTGGCACACAGTCCCACTGGCTCCCACACATCCCATTGGCACGTGCACAGCCTCTACAGGAAGAGACATGGGGAGCTGTCTTATTTGTGCACCTCACTCTGCCTCCAGATTTTGCTCTCTTAGGACAGAACCTGAAGTATCTATTTAATAGATTCAATTACTTTAGGCTCCTGAGACCTTCCAACTTGATTCTGATTGCTTTAAGGTGTCAGATGATTTGGGAATAAATGGGGAAAGCATTCACATTCTTGAAGGGGAAGTCTTCTAGGCTCTAGTCCTCACTGAAGTGGTAGCTGTTGACTGTAGTTTGTGGAAATGTGGCATGGAGGATGGGACCAGCCTCGTGTTGCTAGGCAAGGTTCTGTCCTCCGGTCCTAAAGGACAGAGGCCCTCAGGGTAGTGCTTTGACCTCCAAAGCAGGGGCCAGTCCCTTTCTGTTAACCTTCCTGGGAACCCTTGGTGGAACCGAGGCCCATGCCAAGTGTCCCAGCAGGCAAGGAAACAGCCCTGCTTTCTGCCCCCTGCACCCCACTCAGGGGTGATTCCTTTTGTCTACTCTCTGTTCACTGGGACAGTGATAGCTCTTGGAGGTTGGTAAATAACAGGTCATGGCCTTCAGAGACTATTGATGCTGTGCCAGACAGAGATGGAGCCATTCTGTCCTGTGCTCCAGAAACCTGAAAAAAGAGACCCAGTGTGTGGCATGTGCACTGCATGAATCGAGCTAGGCAGGAAGGAGGCTAACGGCAAGGGCTGTGGGCCCAGACTGCTTTGTGTGAATCTTAGCTTCACCACTGAACATCTCGGACTTCAGGCAAGATCTTTGCCTTTTCTGTGTCCCAGTTTTTTTCTGCTGTGAAATGGGTATGATGAGAGCCTCCACCTGCTAGGGTAGTTGTGAGGATGAAAGGAGTTACGGTGTAGAGAGCACCTGGAGCCCAGCAAACGCTCTGGACATTCTGTTTATTGTTTTCGTAGTTAATGGGGAAGGCCAAGCCAGGCAGAAAGGCGGGGACAGTCCTGGGGTGGGGAGTCCTGGCTGTGGACCTAGGGCAGCAGGATGGGGCCCTCTCTCAGCACAGCTGGTTCTTCTCACACTCTCTCCCACCCAGTCATGCTGTCCTGATGGCCTGTTTCACACCAGAGGATCCCCACATGGACCTGCATGGTTGCAGGGTCTCTATGTTGCTGACTCCAGGGTGCTGGTGAGGATACCCACCCGGAGTGTGGAGCCTGAGCCCCTCAGCAGAGCCCCGCCCCATCACCGGTTCCCTCCTCCCCTGCTGGGGATTCACTGTCCTTCACCTCATCTTGCATGGCTTACTTTAGAGTTGGTGTGAATCACAGCCAAGACCTCCTCGGCACTCAAAGACTTTAAGATGACCTTTTTTGAAAATTTCTACCTCCTTTTAAGTGTGGCCCCTAGAAGAGCTTTGGAGGACTGAGGCCCTGATTCCATTTCAGCTCCATCGCTTTGTAGCTTAGTATCCTTGGCAATCTTAGCATTACGGATGCTTTATTCTCTGGAAATAGGAATAAAATACTTGCCTCTCAAGGCTGTTGTGGAGCTTAAATAATATAAATCTATACGGGCTGGGAATGCAATAGCATACGTTGTTCTTCTCTTGACTGCTACAGCTTAGAGCAGAAAGACCAACGGCTTTGAGAAAGCAGCTCCCTTGCTAAAAAAAAAAACAAAGGTTCCCCTGGGGCCTGTGAGGATGGGGGTGGAGGACTGGAAGGGGCAGAGAAAGGAAGGCCAGCCTCACAGGCATTGCACCTGCAGGTTCCCCAAGACCTCTTTTCTGGCCTCAGCCCCTTCCTGCCCCCCAAGGATCCCCTCCTCACCCACTGCTCCTCTCCCCTGCCCCCCATCTAAGCGGTGGTTCCCATCTCTTAGTGGAGATAGGTAAGCCAGGCAGGCAGGTAGGAGTTAGAAATATCCCCGCTTCACAGAAGAAGAAACTGAGGCTCAGGGGTCTGGGGATCCGCCCCGCCGCAGTGGCCTTAGCCCAGGGTGGGCGCCGGTGCGGTCACGTGTACCGCGCGGGAGCCCCCGGGGCTTCGGGGAAGGAGCGGGGGCGGGGGCGTTCGGAACGCCGGCGCCGGCCGGGGGTGGGGTCTCTGCCAGGGGCGGGGCGAGGGGGCGGGGGCGGGCCGCTGCCACGCAGCGCTCGGGCCCCTCGGCGCGGGACCGAGCCCCTCCAGTGGCGCCCGGTGGTGCGGGCCGGCCTCTCCTGCTTCCACGCGCGCGCACGCCCGCCGCGGCCCCGCGCACTCCGCCAATTCGCCCATCGCGCCGCGCACACCGCCGCTCGCCGAACCCGCGGCCGGGGCCCTGGCGTGCAGCGCGGGCCTCGGCGGGGCCCAGCGTCCCAGCCCGGGAGGATGCGGCCCGGGGCGGCCAGGGAACTGAGCAGGGCCCCCGCGCCGTCCCCCGCGGGCCCGGGCTTCCAGAGCCGCAGCCGCCGCCCCGCCCCCGGGAGACATGACTTCCAAGCCGCATTCCGACTGGATTCCCTACAGGTACGCGGGCGCCCGTCCCACCTCCCCTTCAGCTCGGGGGCGTGGGCTTGGCCCACGCCCCTCCAGCGCTCCGGGCTAGCGGCGCCCCTCACCCCGACCCGGGGCGCAGAGCCCCTGTACTCATCCCATCCCACACTGCGGGCGCGGGCTGGAGGCGCAGGGCCTTTCTACCCCAACTTTGGGCCCCCGTTGGACTGACCCGGCCTGCCCTGCCCCATCACTCCTCCGCCGGGGTTGCTGGAAGGGGCCAGTGCTCTGGGCCTGTGTGGGCCGTGTTGGGTCGGGCAGCGCCATGTGGTCGCGCAGGGAGGGAGCGCACTGCTCTGAGCCCCCTCCTAGGCCCCGCACACCGGTCACACGCCGGTATAGCTGTAGACAGACACTCGTGCAGCTGCAGGCACGCACGCCCCTTGGGTGCATCGGGCCAGAGAGGCTCCTGCCGGTCTGTTCACACACGCAGAATATGAATTCCTGGAGGCAGTTATTCTGAACCAAGAGCACAGGCCGCTCATAGACACATGCACCCCGTACGTCTCCACACACGCTGATTCTTGGTCTCACGCAGGTGTACTCCTACTCCCTGCGCCCATACACATCCTGTATTTGGACAATACCTGACACCCGCAACGCCCTCACAGGTACGACTCCTATCTATCAGGGACTCAAATCCACTTGGAACAGCTCTATACCTGGACACACACCAACTGACAATACATAGACTGCCTTTACATGCGTAAGAGCACTCAGGACAGCAGGGCTGCCTACCCTGTGTTCCCAGAGTCTGTGGTCTGTCCCAAGGATGGATGGGCTTTGCCAGTTGAGTGGTGGTCGGGGTGGGGGAGGGATGTTGGGGGGGTTCTCACCCAGGTGCAGGCCTTTCCCCCATTCACTCTTCATTCTCTCCATTACCCCTGGAATAGAGCTCATTGTCATGGCAGCACCAGATCCTTGGCCACCTATTGGCTCCTGGTTGCCATGGGCTACGGGGCTGTCTCTGGGCCTTCCTGGGAGGCATGTGTGTAAGATGGGTGCTGGACTGCCAGGGGCCACTATGTTATTGCCTGCCTGGGTGCCCATGCCTGCAGGTTGGAGGAGCAGACCCTCAGGACCTGCCTTGTAACACAGCCAGCTCTTGCGAAGGGACCTGATTCCAGTCACCCATAGAAAATATTTCCGACAGAGCTCTTTTAGGAGTTTGTCCAGACGGCATCCAAAATGGAAACCAGCTGAAACCGCCTGAGGCTTGTTAAAAGCAAATCCTTCTGTAAGCAAGCACCTGTCACTGACCTGGGGATCCAGGCTTTTTCTTTGAGAGCTGTTGTCTCTAAGCTCCTTTGGGGGCTTTAGAGCTTCTCAAGTGAGAATTTGTGGGTGCCCCTCCCATCAGCATACACACGTGCACACACACACACACGAGTCACCCATAGGGTTTCCTGCAGGCATAACCCAGTCGCACCTCAGAGTCTGCCATAGATCAGGGAGATACCCCCATCGGGAGACTAGGGCTTTGCTGACTCAAGAGCTGTTACCCTCCACTGGCGTCCAGGCTGGGGGCACAGCTAGTTTCTGGGATACCGTGACTTGACATGTCTGTGCCAAGGACCTTCTAGAAGACTGTGCAGCCCCACAGAGTACCATCAACCTTTTCTAGCCACCCAGCAGAGGTGCCTGGGTAGCACCTGCAGGCCGAGTGGTCTCCCCTCTAATGCTGTGGAAGTAAGAGTAGGGGGGAGCACTTGGCAGGGTGGTGGCCAGGCTGACTTGGGAGGGCAGGAAGGGACAGCACTTGTGGCTGTAGATATGGTGGGGTGTTTAGGATCTGGCGGACTGGGGGCCAGGCCAGATCATGGTTCAAGGGAGCCTCTCCCAGAAGCCAAAGACTAGAACAGGGTGTAGAGTAAGTGCACGAGTCTCAGAGAAAGCCTGCCTCTAGGAAGGGGTCCCTCGGGAGGTGGGCTTGTCTTTGAGAATGGCTTTGTCCTCCAGTGGTGCTCAGGGCACTGGCCTCCTTCAGGGGGTGATTTGGCACTTGCCCCAGCCTAGGCCCAACCACCCTATTCCCGCATTCCTTTCTTGGGCCTGCACCCGCCACCTGGAGCACAGAATCCTATCCCTGAAGGGCAGCTTGGCACCCTTGTGGCCCTACCAGCTTGCGGTTGCCGGTCATCCCTGCCTTGCTGTGTGGCAGGAAGGGGGGGTTCTTGAGCTGGGGGTGGGCTATATTCCGAAGTTGCCAGAATCTCTCCTGCCTTGCTGGGGTCTTTCTGAGTGTGCTCTGAGCTTGGGAAAGCACCGGACCTTGAGTGTAGACTTCCAGAATGGGGAGACCCAGGCGGAGAAGAGGAGATGCAAATTGCTTCTCCCATCAACTGGGCTGCTGATTGCAGTTAAAGCCACATGCCTGCGTGATCGCAGAAAACTGGGGCAGAAGACAGGCGAGGCCGCTTCCTTGCAGATGAAGGGGTGGGCATGCGTGCACGTGCTTCGTGCTTCGGTATGCGGTTTCCCCAGTGTCACAGCATGTCAGAACCGGAATGCGTCCTTCGGTTGGGGGGAGAGCGGTCGGTCGATTTCTTGTTAGCTCTCCTGGTAGGGGTTTTCCTCCCTCTGTGATGGCTGCACCTGCGTTCCCTAGGCCTGGCTCATTTTCTTTGAAGTAACTGCCGGTTGGCGATAATGTTGGCGATAATCGTCTTAAGGGTAATTGTGGCTCAGTTTATAAGGATCGTGGAGTAATCTCACACTCTGACTCAGAAGGGAGTCGTTTAGTTTATAAAGTTGAACAATTGGAATAATGTTTTGCGTTTTGACGTTTGTCTATTCTTACTAGTACTGATAATTCTCACTTCTGCCATTTTTTCTTCATCTGTTCTTCTTGAGTAGTAAATGCTCTTGCTTCCCAGCTTCACAGCCCTTATGAATTGCAGGTGGAGCATTAAGAGCGAGGGAGGGATGGCAGACCTTGTCCTCAGTGCTCTCTCTGCACTGCGTCCCCCCAACCCGGCTGCGAACTCCTGGAGAGCAGGGGCCCCATTTGGTCCTGGGCTGTGTGCCCGGTGCGGGCCAGCCCAGACAATATGCACACTACTTTCAGTCGAAGAGGCATTCCCAGGCAGCTTTGTGGACTTTCTGGCTTTCCTGGCTGCACACCCGGCTTCTCAGCACAGGGGACGTAGTAGTCTCCCCTCAGGAGGGGCACTAGTGCTGGAAGAGCGAGGCCCTGGGTCAGAGAATGAGCACCGCTTCCGGAAGGGCCCTCACAGGCTGTCCGGTCCTCTGAGTGCTCTCTTCCCTTACGTGGCTGTGACGGCTAGAAGGCTCTTCTTGGGGTGAGCCTCGGCGTGCCTCTGAGTTTTTCCTCCTCCTGGCTCTTGTGAAGGTCCTCCCACCACTTTCTGGGGAGTGCAAGGACTGCTGCCCAAGCAAGGCCTGGTTCTGTCGACTCTGCCTGTGTGGGAAGCCTTGGGGTGCCGTGGGGGCTCTGTCTGCTTCACCTCCTGCAGCAGGGAGGGGGAGCCTGGCGCACTGGGGAAGTCTCCCTGCTGCTGCTTCGGGTAGAGGCAGCAGGAACATGGGTGGTGGAGAGGACTGCAGGAGCAGGGACCATGTCTTTGCCCCCTCCAGCACCGGGCCTGGACCCCCTGCAGCTTCCTCTTTTCCCACACTGAGCAGAGGGAGGCTGTTACTTCCTTGCTGGGGGCCCTGCTCCCGTTGTTGACCTTGGGTGCTCCCTATAATTGGGGACAGCTTTGGCTCACCAACTTGTCACCTTGAGGCCTCTGTAAATAGAACCCTGAAGTCTCATTAGGCTGATGTCAAGCCCTGTGTACCCCATTCTGCCTATGTGGGGCAGACCTGGGTTTGGGGACCCACATGTAAGACGTGACCTTCTCCTGATAGACTCTGCTAGCTCTCCAGTGTCTTCTGAAGTCATACTGTCCCAGTGAACAGTTTAATATCACTTTGGCTTTGTGTCGCCTAGAAGTCTGCTGAGAGGCCCACTTTGTCTTCAGGTCATCAGTAAACACGCTTAGCAAGGGAAGCAGGACTCTGGAAACCTCCTCTGATTATGGCATGTTGCAAAAACTTTTGAGGGTCTGTCTTCTTGGAGCACATGCCACTCACATTGCTTTATTTTGCCCACAAGTGACTGTCACTGGTCCTCACGATTCCATGGGGAACCCTGGCTATGCTGCCCTCCCGTTTTCCTGGATAGGTCTGGGGGTATGTGGCCTGACTTGCTTGTGGACTGGGCTCGCGCCTGCTCAGTCACTGGGTCTTCTAGCTCTTGAGCGAATCTGTGCCATGATCTGCGGCCTGTGTAAGACTGATGGATGTACAGACTAATTGCTTCCCCCATCTGAAGAGAAGGCTGCATTTGCATACTTTCAGCAACTCTCTGATTTCTTTTTTGTTCTTTAGAGATCACCAGCTGTGGCTTCTAGTCCTCATTTGCATGTCTGAGCATTAAAATCACCTATGTTTCTTGCTTTAAAGGAGAAAATGAGGCGAGGGATTGATTCTGAGGTAACTTCGCCAGCAGTTCTGAATCACCGAGTCAGGGCCGAGTGCACGTAGCAGTTTTAATTACTGGCTGGACTCCTGTGAGCCCTGTAGGCTTCTCCCTTTTGGGGCTGCCCCTGTTCCCACCCATTCTGTGTTTCCCTGGTTTCCAGGCAGCCACTAGGGACACATCTGGGCATGCTGGGGTGGGGGTGGGGGAGTCTGGCATCGGTACGGGGGCTTGCAGCCTGACCCCGTGGGTGGCCTTTCCTCCTCTGACTCCCTGGGTCCAGCAGGGGCAGCTTCCTTTGTGACTGAGTGGAAGGAATGAGGGCACAAAAGCAGAGGATGAATTGGGCGTGGAGTACGAGCCTGTCCCTAGGTAGCCTGGACCCCATGCCTCTGGTCAGCTCTGGTGGGTTAGCTGAGCAGCATGCACAGTGGAGTCTAGAGAGAGGCAGGGACGCAGCTTCCTAAATGTGTTGTCCATGGCTGGTTTTTCCATCCCATGGGAGAAGTGCCCCTGCTCTCACTTGTCATCAAGCATGGTTTTCTCTCCCGTTATCTGTTGGGCAGCTTGTGAGAAGCAGGAGGTTATGGAGGGGCTGTCTCCCTGGGAGGCGAAGGGCCCCCTTGTTGGCCCTGGGCAGAGTTGGGGGATTGATGGACACTGTGGATCGGGTTTCTCCGACCCTCAGGAGCCCGTGGCTGGTGCGTTACTGGATCCCTGGTCCAGTCCCCAGCAGGAGGCGACCGAGATGAAGGAGCTGCCGGGGTCAGCTGGAGGACCCATCCATCAGTGCCCTGTCTCCTGTCCCAGTCTCCTGGCGGGGCCGCAGCTGGCAGCCTGGGCTTGGCAGTGATTCCATAATTGGAGCCCGAGTTGTTAAAAAGCCATTACTATCTCCTCTGTGGTTATCATTTAGTGCTGTCGAGAACAGTGCCCATTGGGTGGAGGCAGGCCGGGTGGTGTTGGTGAGAAGGGAAGGAAGGTGCCGTGGTGGGAGCTTGAGGGGCAGGGCCGCCCGCAGGGGTGGGGCCCGGGGCCTGCCTGGGACAGCCACCTTATTGCTGTGGTTCTCCGCAGCCGCTAGGACTTGTGGGGATTTGTCCTCGGTCAGGGACAGATGTGTGCCTCAGACACACTGCTGTCAGGCAGTCCGGGCCTGTCCCTGCCGGGGATGGAGGTCGGCCTCCGACCTCTGGGGCTTTCCTAGAAACAGGGCTGCAGCAGGAAGCTGCTTTGTGGACATGCTGTAGCCCACCCTCAGAGCCACTGCTCGGAGGTATGTGGACTGCCGGCCCTCCTGGGGGTTCCTGCGTGGCCAGGCATGTTCTTCCTCCCCGGGGCTCGATGCTTTTCCCAGCATCCCCCCACCCTGACCCCGCTGCTGCAGTGTGCCTCTTGGGAGGTGGGGGCTGGCTCCCCAGGCACTTCCAGGCTATCTGAGTTTCTGGAATCTCTTTAGAAGCTTATGCCTTGCTCATCCATCTTTCTGTGAGGACCAGAGGTCAAGTCCATTCCACCTATGATCCTTCCAGGTGAGCAGCCTTACTAACAACGCCAGTGGCTTCTGCTCAGGGAATGGAGGTGGGGCTGCTGGCAGAGGAAAGCAGCCTCCTTGCCCACGTGTGACATGTGGAGAGTCCACGGCAGTGGGACAGTAGCCTGGGCTAGGAATGCAGCCCCCCTCTGCCCCTGCACAGATAGGGACACTCTCAGATTCACCTTTGTCCATCGAGCTGTCGCGGTGACCCGGCAGTTCTGGAGGTGGTTTTGCTCATGACAGCTTAGCTCGCAGGTGGACGTCCCCTTTTCTGAATGAACCGAGATGTTTGCGTCAGCACCACAGCCCACAGAGGGCGTCTTCTCTGCCCTGCTCACCAGGCTCCGTCCGGGAATTACCTGGCTGCCCTCCCTGCCCCTGCCCAGGAAAGCACAGGGGACAAGCGTCATGGCGGCCACAAAGCTGCCCCTGTCTGCAGGAAGCTGAGCCGGCAGTCTCGCGGAGGCCGCTTGGGCTCCTGTGGCGAGGCTGCTAGCGTGCGACTGCGCTGCCGGCTGCCCAGTGTGGACCCAGGCACAGAGCCGGGCAGGCAGAGCACAGCTGGATTCAGGCCCCGTCGTTGCCGTCTGCCAGGGCCACATGGAGTCCAGAGTGCCGTTTCTGTCCAGATCCTGCGCGTTTTAAAGGAATCCACACTGCTTGTGCCGCTGACCCTGGGGGATGGTGGTGTTGGTGGCCTGAGCCCTGGAAGTCTGTGGGAGCAGATGCTCGGCCTCGGCGTCGTTCAGTGAGGCCACTGACTTAGGGTGCGCAGACCAGTGGCAGACTTGTAGCTTCTCAGCCCTGGCGGGGCCCCCAGGCATCTTGCCCTCCCTAATGAACTCCTCCTCCCTTCAGAACTCTGGCTGCCACCCTCCGGCCTGGGGTGCCTGCTTTCTCTGACGGGGCACTCCCCGTCCTGGCCAGCTGCAAGTTTTAGGAGCCGGGTCACTGTCGTCTGGTCCAGGCAGCACCCTCATGGAGTCTCCCTGGACTAAGGCCTTGGCTCAGAAGCACATCTGTTTAGCAGTGTCTTCGCTTGTGTTTTGGCAGCCAAGACTTTTGGAGAATAAGGCTGCGAACTGACGAGGCTCATAGTTGGGGCTCCTCTGGAGTGAGGACCAGCCCATGGGTGCCAGGCAAGGCCTTCAAGTAAGGAGGACAGTGCCAATGGTTGAAAACAGGCAGTCATCTTAGGTTGTGGCCAGGGAGGTGGGCGGCGGGCTGTGGACTCCGTGGACGTCCTGCCGCCCTTGGGTGGCTCCCCAGCACACCCACACAGGTCGTCTGGATGAGCCGAGGGGACATTGCAGGTCAATGATTGTTCTGGCTAGAAAGAGCTCCTCTTATCAGGAGGGAGTGACAGCGGCTGAGCTGTCTTCAGGGTGACTCGTCCTTGTCTGCACTTCTCACACGCGTACTCACCCGCACACAAGTTCATCTGTATAGATACGCAGGTGTGTGCTCACTCACACGTGTAGATGTGTCATGTTTGGACACCTTCTGGCATGTGCACACGCATGACAAACCTGATGCCCTCAGGCATGCCTGTGCAGGTTCCCGCTCATGGTCTGGTTCAGGGGCAGGCTCTAGCATCACTGGGCCACGGTAGTCTGGGGGTTCCCAGGGCTCAGATCCTCAGGCTCCAGCCCTGCCCCCAACCCTGGCTTTTACAGAATTTGGGGCTACGGCTTATGGATGTATCTTGGCCTAGAAGGAGTGCTAAGTGGTTGGGGCTCCCTAATTTCACTTGCCTTCCTGGGAGGCAGGTCCAGTCTATGTGAGATGACACACTGCCTGTTTCAAGACCTTAGAGACTCAAGGATTTGATGCCCCCGTGCCCCCTGTTGGCTGGTCACTGGGCGATGCACGGATGGGCTGTGTCTGCCTACACATATGTCCAGCCAGCCCAGCCCTGCCCTCAGGGACTGGTTGGTCTTCTAGTTTCTCTCCCAGATGAGGGAACCCTCAGCCTTCTTTTTTTTTTTTTTAAGATTTTATTTGTTTATTTGACAGAGATCGCAAATAGGCAGAGAGGCAGGCAGAGAGAGAGAGGAGGAAGCAGGTTCCCTGCTGAGCAGAGAGCCCAATGTGGGGCCTGATCCCAGGATCCCTGGATCATGACCTGAGCCGAAGGCAGAGGCTTTAACCCACTGAGCCACCCAGGTGCCCCCCCTCCCAGGCTTCTTTAAAGGGGGTGGACAGTGTTGGCATATCTCATTCTGCCACCTGGAGAGCCAGGAGTTTGACTAGAAGAGGAAAGAGTCTGCCTCAAAGGATCCAGCCTCCTCTAGGAAGGACTGGAGGACCGGGGAGGAGCTGGTGAGATCCGAGAGGGACCTGGAGCAGACAGGTGTCTCAGTCTGAAGCCCAGCCTTGGGCCTGGCTTGTACCTGATGCCTCTGGGCAGGTTCCCCTGCATCTTAGGCATGTCCCAGCTCATGGCCCCAAAGAGAGAGTCTCCTCCTGTACTTTTTGGGTCAGGCTGACTAGGAAGTCCTTGGGTCAGCAGGGACCCCAGCAGGAGAAAGCTCCTGCATTGGCAAAAATATGGCTTCCACCTTTCCGTCCAGAGCTGGCTTCCAGGTAGTAGCTCCACCCTTCCTGTCTCCTTCTCCTGTGTCCCCAGGAGTCAATTATGGGAGGGGTTTAAAGAACCTGATGTGCAGGGTGGGGGTGGGCTCTGGGCTCCCTGTTTGTAGCCGGCAGCCACCAGGCAGGCCCTGAGTGCCCCTGTCTCCCTCTGCAGTGTCTTAGATGATGAGGGCAGCAACCTGAGGCAGCAGAAGCTAGACCGGCAGGTGAGTGCAGCCGGGGCTGGGTGCACGGGCAGTCGGCATTTACCGTCGGCGGGGGCGGGGGGGGGGGGGGGGGTGGGGGGGGGGGGTGGGGGAGCATTGTCTCACTTCCTGGGGTGACCTTGACTGGCTGGGAGGAGGCCCTCACAGAATAGTGGCTTGTCTCTCTCATGTCTAGACCGCTCAGCATCAGCACAGACCCAGAGCCCAGGGCTTTTCCGGGCGGGCAGCTGGTGCCTGTAGTCGGAGCACCGGACATCCGTGCCGCGGTCCTGCTGGGCCATCTACCTGGGCTGACTTGTGCCTCCTTTTCCTGGACCCTGAGCCTCAAGGTGCCAAGGGCACAGAGCCGTGGCCCAGAGTGGGCTGTGGACCCCCTGGTCACCCTGAGAACCGAGCTGAGTGATCAGGGCCTTCTCTGGTTCCAGTCGGGAGCCTGGCCTCCGGGTGGGAGGGACGGGCTGTGCTGTCAGGGCCTGCCAACTTGTGTGCCCGTCCGGTGCCTCCGCAGAGGGCCCTTCTGGAGCAGAAGCAGAAGAAGAAGCGTCAGGAGCCCCTGATGGTGCAGGCCAACGCGGATGGGCGGCCCCGGAGCCGGCGGGCCCGGCAGTCGGAGGAGCAGGCGCCCCTGGTGGAGTCCTACCTCAGCAGCAGTGGCAGCACCAGCTACCAAGGTAGAGCCTGCCTTGGGGTTGGCCTCGGGAGTTCCCTGTGCTGTGGCCACACCCCCCGCCCCCCACCCACTGCTTCCAGAGTAGGGGGTGCCCACGGGCCTCCAGCCAGATGACTCCCAGCTCCATCCCAGGCAGAGGGAGTCGGGACCTGCAGCCCTGGGCCCCTGCACGTGCTCTGGCATCCCTAGGCTTCGGTGGCCTTGGCGGGTGTTCCTTGAGCACCGGTACTGCGCCCCAGGCCAGAGGCAGGCCTGTCTGCAGCCCCTTTGGACAGAGTGGGTCCCAGCCCCGTCAGAAGACAGTTTCTGCTCACTTTTGACTCTGGGCAAGTCACACACCCTCTCTGGGCCTATCTTCTCCCCTCGTAACGTTGAGGAGCATTCTGTGTCTGGGGGCTTTGAAAACAAGTGGCCCTGGTGTGTCACATGGTCCCGTCAGCTGAATGCTTCTCCTGCCGAGGCTGCAGACCAGGCTGGATTCACGCTGCTGCTCCGGGGTGGGAGTGGGGGTGGGGGGCCTTCTTTGCCCAGCTGGCAGCCCTGAGGTGGCTGCTGCTCCAGGGGCTGGCTGACCTGGAATCTGGGGTTCCAGGGGCACCTCCCATACCCCCCTGCCACTTCAGCTGCCTACTGCTCTGCCCTCTAGTGGCTCTCGGTGTAAAATACAAGGCTCTCATTTTCAGAAGCTGAGAGCAGAGTTTGAGGGCAGTGAGAACTTTCTCCCAGCGAAGTTTTTCACTGACCGTGCTCATTCATGTTGTATACTCATTTCTTAAACATTTGTTGAGGGCCTACTGTGTGTCTGGCTCTGGATTAGAGGCTGAGGGTCCTGGGGAAGCACAGAACAGGTGTGCTCTCTCTTTGTTCATGGACCTGGAGGTCCAGGAAGGGAGAGAGAGTTCATTGGTTTGCTTGGTGAAGAGAAGCCAGGCTGTGTGAGTGAATGGCAGAGAGCCTGCTCCCATACGAGGGCCAGGGAAGGCCTCTCCGAGGAGGTGACACCAGAGCTGGAAACTGCAGGTTGAGCGGGAGTTGAGTTGGGGTCAGGGGGCCGACGTCCACAGTGAGGACAGTGCAGACAGTGTGACAGTAGCGCCAAGCCCCTCTGGCAAGAGGGAGGACGCTGTGCACAAGGCCCTGAGAGGGCCTGGAGGGGCTGGGATGTGGGGTTCCTGGGAGATAAGGGGTGTGCTGGGAAGGCCAAGGCCAAGTGGAACGGAGCTGGAGGGGAGAATGTTGGTCTTCATCTTATGAGCAATGAGAAATCATTCAAAGACTTTGAGGAGGTTGGGGTTCTGATGTGTGAGACTGTGGAGGCCACCTCTCTGTTGGTTGGCACAGCTCCTTGTAACCCAGAGTTACTCTCCTGCTCGGGGTACTCTGGTGTGACAGGCTCCCATGGGCTTGTCCTGGGTAGGCCGGTATAGGCTCCCTGCAGTGCTTCCCCTCCCGAGTTCTGGGCTCTTCTAGGAGATGCAGCCTTTTCTATCTTTGGCACCTAGAGTGACCCACATTCTCTCAGATGCTCCCCCTCCCCCTGCCCAGACTCACACGGTTTGCTGGCCCAGAGCTTTGATTGTGGTGCTTCTTGGTTGGTCATGCTGTGGGCCAGCCTGTTGACTCTATCACACGGGGCTGGGGGCACCACCCCGTTCTAGCTCTGCCTGCCCTAGCCCCTCTGTCTTGTAGAGGTGGGTGGTACAGAGGCCCTGGTAGGGCTGAGTGGTGGTGGGGCCCTGGGAAATGTGCTGAGAAGTGAGTTCCACTTGCAGCTCTGGTCTCACCTAGGGCCCATGTTTCTCTCTCCCTCTCTCTCTCTCTCTGGACTCTCTCCTGAGCAGTTCAAGAGGCCGACTCACTCACCAGTGCGCAGCTGGGAGCTGCCCGCCCAACAGCACCAGCCTCAGCCAAGAGAACCAAGGCAGCCGCTGCAGCTGGGGGCCAGGGCGGGACCTCTAGGAAGGAGAAGAAGGGGAAGCGCAAAGGTTGGCTTTCTTCCACCACGGCCCTCCTCAGGAGGTCTGGCTCCCACTGGAGGGTTGGGGGAGGTTTCTCCTCCGGATTTGGGAGGTAAGGGACAGGGTGGGAGGCCTCCATGAAGGCACAGAAGGATACTCAAGGCCCCGCCCGGCAGGCTCACAGGCTTCCTCTAGCTCATGGGGTTCCTGGGCTGGCCTGTGGGTGTGGGCAGGCTCCCCACACTGCCAGGAAGTGAAATGCACCTTGCCGTGTCCCTCCCCCACCTGGTTTGAGCCCCCTCCATTGCTGTCCTGCCCCTGGCAGTCTGCCCCATCCTTGTGCCGTACTCACAGGTGTGTGGGCTTTCTCGACTCTTCTGCTCTAGTCTTCACTCCAACATCTGGGCCCACAGACCATTCTGTTCTCTCCGTTCCTTTGTCTCCAGAAAAGATCCCCAGAGATCAAGGACCATTGTGGTGCCTTCTGCCATGAGTCCTGTCTCTGCTGGCTAGACTCCCCCTGTGTGCCCAACCTGTGTGCATGGGCAGTGATTTCCAGGTGTCTGGGATGTGGTTGGACAGTGGCATGTCAGGGTTCATAGGCTTCTGGAGCTGACTGCAGAGTTGGGGGGCATAGCCCAGCCAGCAAGGCAACTGCTATCTGTGTGGGCCAGGCCTTCTGTTACTCGGGCACCTTGGGCAGGGTGACGTGGGATGGGTGATCTTCCATTTGGGAAGGGGAGTGTATGCCAACCTCCATCTTTTTCAAGGGGCCCCCTGTGTTTTGAGTGACGTCTGTGAGTTATGAGGTATGTATTTGTGTGTGTGACTGAAGATCAGCACTGATAACTGGGTGTTGGCTGTGTCTGTGAACAAGTGGTGGCCTTGGCCATGGTCATGATCGGTCCTTGTTCTCCATCTTGTCTTTTTCACTGTGCAGTTGGTTTTGTAGATGATTATCTTCTGCCTAGGGATATGAGGCATTTTAAACCAACCCTTGGCAACTAATTTGGGGGAACAGCAGAAGAAACGAAGCTCTTGTCCCTTTGTAGCTTGTTGATCAATAAGAGGTTGGCAGCAGTCATTAGTGTTTTCAAAAATCAGTTTTGCAGAGGGTTCCCCCCACTCATCCCTCACCCACTTCAAGGACATCTGAGAATCCAGGCTCTCTCCCCCACCCCCCCATGGGACTCAGGAGTATCCGTGGCCTGCAGGCACCAGCGGGCCAGCAGCACTGGCAGAAGACAAGTCTGAGGCCCAAGACCCGGTGCGGATCCTGACTGTGGGCCAGTCAGACCACGCTCAGGACGCGGGGGAGACGGCAGCCGGCGGGGGCGCACAGCCCAGTGGGCAGGACCTCCGTGCCACGATGCAGAGGAAGGGTGAGCCCTATGGGGGTTCAGTGACACCCCCAAAGCTCAGTCCCAGGTTCTCAGATGCACCCTTTTGGGGAACATGGCCCTGGTAGGGGGCACAGTGTGAGACCAGTGAGAAACTTGAATGTAGGGACCCCTGGTAAGGCCAAGTTCAGGGAAGTCAGTGTCAGCTAGGGAAAGCGACCCGTCCACAGCCCATCCCCCTCTCTGCCTCCATCTTCTGTCTCCAGGGAGGCCCAGGTTTGGAGACAGATTTCCTTTCCCTTTGGTTCCTTTGAGAAGGGTCCTTTTGAAAGTGTTTCCCCTACATCTCCCGAGCTCAGGGAGCAGGGCCAGAAAGCCAGGAGGGATGGCAGATCTCCCAGGAAACATGCTGCCCAGAGAGTCTCTCTACCAGGAGCCCCACCCCAGGGAGTCCCTGGCACTGGGTGGCAGAGGGAAGCCCAGCAGGGACACATGTTCTAAGAAATGAGATCAGGACAGGCTTCCTGGAGAAGGGGCTGTGGAGGCAGCAAGAGGCTGGGGATAGCAGTCCAGGTGGGGATAAATGTGTAGACAGAAGGCCATGGGCAGGCTGTGGGAGGAGGCAGTGGGCCACGTGCATCAGGCTGGGGGAGGAGGGAGCTGGGCCTCTCCCAAACAGACTCTCTGGCCTGTGACGGCTGAGACCTCCGGTAGACACGAAGTCTCCCAGCACAAGGTCAGCTCCACTCAGGCCTCGCCACCCAGGAGACGGGCACGACTGCTGGGGGCGGGTCATGGGAGACGTCCCATGGGAGACGGGTCTCATGGGAGGACTGAGCTAAAAGCTGGGGAGGGGGATTTACACCCTGAGGATGGTGACCAGCCCCAGCTCATGCGTGCACTGGGGAGTGTGTGTCCTTGTGTGTACTTGGACGTGTGTGTGTGTGTATGCACGTGTGTACATATGGTTCTTTGTGTGTACGGGTGACTCTGTGCTTTGGAGCAGGTGTCCGGGTGTATGTGTGTGACCACTCATCCTGTCCCGTTCCTCTGCCCCGCCCAGGGGTCTCCAGCAGCATGAGCTTTGAAGAGGAAGAGGAGGATGAGGATGAAAATAGCTCCAGCTCCTCCCAGCTAAACAGCAACACCCGGCCCAGCTCCGCTACCAGCCGGAAGTCCGTCAGGGTGAGGTGCTTTGCTGCCCCGCGAGAGGGTAGACAGCCATCAGAGGTCTGAGCGTCCAGGTTGGCGGGGGAACAGGTGTGGAGTGGAGAGTTGGCTTTCTTGGGAAAGAAATTGATTCTTTCTGGGCCTCGAAACTGATCAAAAGCATTTCTGGCTGGGGCTCTTGTATCCCTCCTCTCCTGCCTCCTCTTCAGCCAGGCCAGAAGTAGGGGGCTCGAGTTGGACAGGATGGCCCCAAGAACCTGCCCACATCTCCATCTCCGCCCCCCAGGGACAGTGGAGGTGGGAAAAGGGCTGAGGAGCCAGCTGCTGACCCCAGGGCCAAGCTTATCCCAAGGACCCTGTCCCAGCTCCCACCACCACCACCACCACCACCACACCAGGGGGCAGCTTTGGGTCCCAGACCACCAGCTGAAGCTGCTCAGGGTCTCTGGGCCTCGGGCTTCTGCTCTCTCCCATGTAGGAGGCAGCGTCAGCCCCCAGCCCAACAGCCCCAGAACCCTCCGCGGATGTTGAGGTCCAGGATCTTGAGGAGTTTGCACTGAGGCCGGCCCCCCAGGGTATCACCATCAAGTGCCGCATCACGCGGGACAAGAAGGGGATGGACCGGGGCATGTACCCCACCTACTTTTTGCACTTGGACCGTGAGGATGGGAAGAAGGTGAGGTTGGCCTGAACCTGCAGTTTCATTGACGCAGGCTTGAGATCCTGTGGGCTGGAATGTAATTGGAAGCCTTGGGTCCAACACTGACCTTTCAGTTCCCCAAAGGGATAGAAGCCTCTGTGCCTGGTCAGTGCATACCTTTTTGTTTGCTGATGTGTCTGTGTGTGTGTGTGTGTGTGTGTGTGTGTCTGTGCGTGTGCGTGCACACATACTTATGTTCAGGAGCCGAAGCCAGAGAGCGTTGTGTGTGTGGCACCCCTGGGTGTGTGTGACCAGAGGCAGGGCCTGGAATGTGACCTTGTTCCATTCCCCAAGGTATTCCTCTTGGCGGGAAGGAAGAGAAAGAAGAGTAAAACTTCCAATTACCTCATCTCTGTGGACCCAACAGACTTGTCTCGAGGAGGGGACAGCTACATCGGGAAACTGCGGTACTAGCACTCCCCTAAGGAAGCAGGTTGGGGGGGTGGGTGGGAGGGGCAGGGCAAGGCTCTGGAGAGGGCAGGTCTTGTCCCTAAGGGAGATCGAGGTCAGGGGTCAGATCCTCTCAGAATCCTTTTTGTCTCTCAGCTCTAGCTGTAGGCCTGTAGGCCAGGGTTTGTGTCAGCCTAGAGCCAGACTCAGAGATGGAGCTCACATACCCTACCCTAAGCCGCTCTTGGGGGGGGAGGGGCATAGGGTATAGATCAAACCTCAGGAAGTCACTGAAGACATAGGCCACTGTGGAAGAACTGCCTTGGCTCCATGGTCAGTGCCAGAGGGCGGGGAGTGAGCCCTTGAGGGAAGAAAGCGCAATCTGGGGATGGGGGAAGGCTTTGAGCTAGGCCTCAGGGAGTGTATGCCGGGGAACAGAGTGCCATATTTGGGGAGGATGAGTCAAGCTTAGGGGTAAGGAGCTAATGCTGGAGATGGGGCTAGACTAACACAGGCTGCACAGGAGAGGAGGTTGTCTCATCCACTCTCCATGAGATGTTGAGCGCCTTTTGCCATCTTGCCAGATGCCCTCTGCCATCCGCTTGCTCCCCTCATGAGAGGGGTCCAGTTCCTCCAGGGAAACATGTGGAACCCGGACTTAACTCCTAGAATTTCCCTCACTGAATAAGATGCCCTTTGATTCTGTTCAGAGCAAGTGCAGGCCTTCTGCCCCATGAAGGACCTTCAGAGATGGGGATTCGGTGTGCAGTGTGCTCCCGGGTTGCTCCTGGCCCAACCCAGAGTGCCCTGCAGGCTCATTGAACAGCTCATTGAGCTGTTTCCTGCCCTAAGTTGAAGGGTGTATGATCCTTTATTGATTGCCGGTCCTTCAGGTCCAACCTCATGGGCACGAAGTTCACCGTTTATGACAATGGAGTCAACCCTCAGAAGGCATCATCCTCTACTTCGGAAAGTGGAGCCTCGCGTCAGGAGTTGGCAGCCGTGTGCTATGTGAGTCGTGCGTTCCTGGGTCTCTGGTCTCCAGGTTAGACAGGACGCTGAGGACTTGCTGCCCAGTCTGTGGGCTGTCCCATCTGTCTTGTGAGTAGACAAGATTGTACACAGTTGGACTGCCCTCTGTTGGAGTGGCCCCTGTCTGTCCTCAGAGCTCAGACCACAGATAGCATAGCCATCTGCCTGGGGAGATCTGGGAACCGGGCTGAGCTCTATGCAGCCCAGTCTGGGAATCTCCCGGAAAGGAGGCGGCTGGAGGCCTGAGTTCTTGTCGGTGCATCGCTCTACCTCTCCCTCCAGTACCTGGGCCCTACACGGACTATAAGTCCCTTTGCATAGTCATCTCACGGAATGCATTACCTAAGAGCTTAGTCCTGTTTCCTTTACTGTGTAGATGAGGAAACTGAAGCTCAGAGGCTGTCACTTGCCAATGTCCTACAGCGCGTAAGTGACCAAACTGGAATGTAAATACAGGGAATTTCTCTACCTTATTTTAAAATGAGGGATTGATACCCCCATTAATCCGGGCCTGGGTACTTGGAGGCCAGTTGGGAAAGCCATAGGTGTTCTGTATGAGCTTATGGTGCCACCTGCAGGTCACCTTTGGGAAAGCAGCCCAGATCTCTTCAAATGCTTTTTTTTTTTTTTTTTTAGTGTTTTTTTTTTGTTTTGTTTTTTGTTTTTTTTTATTTTTTTATAAACATATATTTTTATCCCCAGGGGTACAGGTCTGTGAATCGCCAGGTTTACACACTTCACAGCACTCACCATAGCACATACCCTCCCCAATGTCCATAACCCCACCCCACCCCCAACCCCCTTCCCCCCATCAACCCTGTTTGTTTTGTGAGATTAAGAGTCACTTATGGTTTGTCTCTCTCCCAATCCCATCTTGTTTCATTTACTCTTCTCCTACCCCCTTAACCCTCCATGTTGCATCTCCTCTCCCTCATGTCAGGGAGATCATATGATAGTTGTCTTTCTCCGATTGACTTATTTCACTAAGCATGATACCCTCTAGTTCCATCCACGTTGTCGTAAATGGCAAGATTTCATTTCTTTTGATGGCTGCATAGTATTCCATTGTGTATATATACCACATCTTCTTTATCCATTCATCTGTTGATGGACATCTAGGTTCTTTCCATAGTTTGGCTATCGTAGACATTGCTGTTCTAAACATTCGGGTGCACGTGCCCCTTCGGATCACTACGTTTGTATCTTTAGGGTAAATACCCAGTAGTGCAATTGCTGGGTCATAGGGTAGTTCTCTTTTCAACATTTTGAGGAACCTCCATGCTGTTTTCCAGAGTGGCTGCACCAGCTTGCATTAAGCCACAGCTAATACCGGTTGAGGCACTGAGAATACAGTAGTGAACAAGAGACATAAATTTATACCCTTACGGGACTTAAACCCCTAGTGGGGAGACGAGCTATAAAACAGATTTATAAGCAAAATAAATAAATGTGAAGAGGAAACAATAAAGCAGGGAAATGAAATGTTCAGGTGTGTATAAGCTTTTAGTAGGGATGGCAGAGAGGGCCTCCCTGAGGTAGCACTTGGGTAAAGCCCGGGAGGAAGGGAGAGCCAGCCACGTGGGTGTAGTGGAACACACAGCCAGTGCTAATGTCCTGCATGACTGGCATGTGTGGGGAATAGCAAGGGGGGGCGGGGCAGAACCAGTGCAGAGGTGAGTAGGTGGGCAGGAGAGGAACGTAGTGGGGCCATACCATGTGAGGCCTCGATGTCAAGGTAAGACCTTCAGCTTTAATCTGCATGAACAGTGGAGGCAAAGGGTATGACTTAACAGGACGACTGCGGCTGTGTGAACAGACCAGGGGGGCAGGGCAAGGTCAGAAACCAGGAATCCCAATAAAGACTAGTACTGTGACCTCGGGGAGAGATGGTGCTGGTAAAAAAGTGGTTGATGGAATTTGAAGGTAGAGGTGACATCATCTGCTCATGGATTAGAAGTGGGTTGTGAGCGAAAGAGAGGAGTCAAGAATGACTCAAAGTAGGTTGCCTGAGCAAATGGAAGAACGGAGTTGTTAACTGAAGTGAGGACGATAGGGAGGAGGTGGTTTGGGCAGAGTGGAGATTCAGGAGCTCAGTTCTAGATGGGTTCAGTGTAGAGATGCCTATTAGACATTCAGGTGAAGACGGTGAAAACTAGCTTGTCAGCTTTATTCCCTTCCTCCTGGTCTCTCCATTAGTTAAGTAGAGTCCTCAGATGGCAGTGTTGAGTCCTCCTTCTCTCTTTCCCAGGAGACAAATGTCTTAGGTTTCAAGGGGCCTCGGAAGATGAGTGTGATTGTCCCAGGCATGAACATGGTTCATGAGAGAGTCTCCATCCGGCCACGAAACGTGAGTCACTCGCCACCCTGTCACCCCAGTGTACGCGTGCCCTTCTGGGAGCAGAACTGCAGCTGCGTGGGGTGTGTGTGTGTGTGTGTAGGAGGCGTGGTGTAAGCAGCCCCAGGGCTCTAGGTGGAGGTGTAGGGAGATCTAAGGACTCCGCCCCTAGGGCAAATCCCTTTTTAGGGTGGTTGTGGACCAAGGCTTGGGCTGGGCCTGACTCAGGTGAGGCTGCCTTCCCAGGAGCATGAAACGCTGCTCGCACGCTGGCAGAACAAGAACACGGAGAGTATCATCGAGCTTCAAAACAAGACCCCTGTCTGGAATGACGACACGCAGTCCTACGTACTCAACTTCCATGGGCGCGTCACACAGGCCTCCGTGAAGAACTTCCAGATCATCCATGGCAATGACCGTGAGTGTTTCTGCCCTTCCTCAGGACTGTCCCTTTGACTCAGGGTTCAGCTCATCCAGTCCCGGCTTCATAGGCCAGAGCTTAAGGATGTGGGTTATGTGGCTTCGATCAGAGGTCAAAAATTCTCTGACCCTAGGACTGGGAGGCTCTTAGAAGAACCTCCTTTGGAGCCCTAACCCCAGATTCTGTGCACTTAGCAGAGTCTCAGGTGTGAGAACACTGTCTGAATAGACTTTTTCTCCTCTTCTCTGTCTCCTGGTATTTGTGTGCCTCTCCTTCTCCTCTGTTATCTCCTCCCTCTTTCCCACCATGTTTCCCAATTGTACCTCCTCTGGGCCTCTCCACCTGTTGTGATGTGTCTGTCTGTCTCTCCTGCCCTGCCCCACCCCTGCTCTGTTCCACGGGCCTGGCCGCAGCGGACTACATCGTGATGCAGTTTGGCCGTGTGGCAGAGGATGTGTTCACCATGGATTACAACTACCCACTGTGCGCGCTGCAGGCCTTTGCCATCGCCCTGTCCAGCTTTGACAGCAAGCTGGCCTGCGAGTAGAGAGTCTCCTCGTGCGCTTTGGGGTTGTCCAGCCTGGAGTGGAGCTGCCTGCCTACAGAGACAGCCCTGCCTCCCCTCTCTCTGTACATAGGCCTGCTGCCAGCTGAACTGTCAGCTCTCAGTGGCTCCCTGGCCAAGCTGACTCGGACCTGGCTCCTCTGTCTCCACGGCAGAGACAGAGGACTGGGCTGGGGACGTGTGTGCGTGCAGGGACCCAAGGTCCAGACACACACCCCTGCTCTTGAGTTTGTATCCTGCTGCAGGTGTGTTTGCCCAGCTGGGCAGCCTCTTCGGCTGGGAAGATAGGAAGAAACAGAGGGAGAGGAAGCACAATGCAGGGCTGCTGTGGTCCAGCCACCCACTCAGTCTGGGAGTCAGGTGACCATGGGTCCCCAGCAGTGAAGGGCACAGTGTGAGTGTGTACGTGTGTACTGGGTACACCCATTTTACATACATAGTAGGGCTAGGATCGGCTTCCAGGCCCTTGGTTAACTCCAAAAAGTCCTCTGACTTCAGAAGGCCTCAGCCAGCCTAGGAGAAGTTACAAGAGTTTGGGAAAGGTGAGTGGCAAGACCTTGTCAGGATTGCGGGGGCCTGGCTTCAGCTGTGGGAACTGGCTGGTGGCCTGGGGTTCCCGCGCATTTGATTTCTCTAGGTTTTGTCTGTGTGCATAGAGGCGGCAGGAGGTACATGGCACAGGCCCCTGGACCAGGGCTATGTTGGGAGTCCTGGCAGCAGCCAGAGGAGCTTTCTGTGGAGCAGCTCCTGCCCAGGGCCCCGCGCCTCAGCCCATAGTGCAGCCAGGTAGGCATGCCTTGGCCCACAGCCGGCAGAGCACCAGTCCTAAGCCATGGCATGTTCCAGGAAGAAGGTCCAGCTCCAAGTGCTCTGGCCTGTGCCTCGCACCCCCTGTGCTCAGCCTAGGTTGTGGCTGCTAAGAACGTTTGTGTGTGGTTCTTTTGGGGTGGGAATGGGACGGGGGAAGAAAAGCAGGGAGTACATTAGAACCACAAGAGAGGAGAGGTGGCAGGAGCTTTAGAGATGAACTAGTACAATGTGTCACTTTAGATGAATCACATTTAGAAGATGGACTTGCACCGGGTCATCTAGCTGGTGAGTGGCAGAGTTCAGAACTTCTGCTCCTTTGATTTCTTTGTTCCTACCATCCCCTAAGAAACTGCTCTCTGGTTCTCTAGCCTTCTTGGGACTCTGGTCTGCATGCCCTCACCCTTATGCCTGATTACAGAGACTCAGAAGTGTCAGAGCTGATGTCTGAAATTGAAACCGTTCAGTTCCCTGCTGAAAGCTGGCCTTTTGAACATCAGTCTGATCAGGACTGCCCTGTGTCTGGCTTCTCCCCGAGGGCAGGCCTTACCAAGGCCATCGTGCCTTTCTCTTTTTGGGTGTGATGGGTGAGACGTGAATGTTCCAGGGCTGGGTCTGATTTCCTTCTCCTTGGCTGGTACCCTCTATGCTGAACACTTGGGAACGCTAAGGCTTTGCTCGTCTCTGACCCCTGCAGAGGCTACTTGCCCAGGTGGAAGTCAGAAATCTGGAGGAAGCAAGCCGTTGTTCCTCCCTTCAGAGTAGATGCACTTGGAAAGGGTGTACAGAAATTTTTAAGTAAGTACTACTTAAAACATTGGGTTGAGGCTCCTCCCATAGTGAGGGGAGTTGTTTTGACCTAAGTGGTGGTGGTAGTGTGTTCTCATTTCCTGTGTGGAGTGCTCAAAGCACAGTGCAGCTGTTACAGTGGGGATCTGTGGGAGGCCCCTCTATGGGCCTAGTTTCTGGACCACTTTTGGGGTCATTCTGAGGGCACTGAGGCTGATCCACTTTTCCAGTCCTAGTTGGGCTCATACTCCCCTGACTGGGAAGAGACGGGCTGACATTTGGGATGCCGGAAGCTAGATCTCTGAAGTCTGGTCCAAGCTCTTTCTCCGGGTCTAGGATTTTAAAGTAGAACAGGCTGATTTCAGAGCCTAGAGAGAGGGAGGGAAGCCTGTCAGAAGTGTGGAAGAGGCAGAAGCACAAGAACAAACTCTTGTACCCTGTGTTGCATCGAATACAAGGGGTGGGGGGGGGGGTTGTGTCAGGAACGTGGCTTGAGCTTCCCGGCCTGCACTGGGGAAGGTAGCGCAGCAGCAAAACTCTGTTGGGCACTGAATGACGAGCAGTTGAGTCACCTGCTCGAGACCCAGCTTCACAAGGTCTGTTCTTAAGGCCCCATTCCTGGTGATGCTGGTTTTCCCTGACCACTGGCCTCCTAGCCATGGGCCCAAAGACTCAAAAAGCTGCCAGGGCCCCTGGACACCACCTGGGCTCAGCATCTCCCAGGGTAAGAGCTCTTGTCCTTTATACCCTCTATCCAGACGGTACCCTTGAGTGGGCCGGGGACTGGATGATGGCACGAGCAAGCCCTAAGGGTGGGGGGCAGCTGGGACCTCAGGCAGCCCCTCTGTCACTGCTCCTGGGGCCACACCCTCTTCCCCCAAACAGCTCTTCTATAGAGCTGTGGTGTTCACTCCCCACTCTTCTCCGATTCTAGCTTTTCTTTCCTTCTGGCTCCAAGGTGCTCTGTGTCTGTCTGTGTGTCTCTATGTCTGTGTGTATTTGGGGAAAAGGGCAATCTGCAAATCACCAACTGAGGTTTCTTAACTACGATCATATTTCTAAGGATGAATGGGAAAGGAAAAAGGGTATTTCCTCACCTGTGGATTTTGTTCATTCATTTCATGCTCTTTGGTCAGAAAGTAAACCTGGGAAAGTACCAGCTCTTTCTTGGGAGAAAGAATAGGAGGATACTGTCCAAGAAATTCTAGTTTTCAGTTCCTTTTTGCGGTACATGGTGAAATTGGTATGTTACATGCATGCTTTTGGATGAATTTGAACATATTCTAGTGAATGTGCCTTAAAAATCACGACACTAGTTCAGAAGGAGCAGTTAAGGTCCAGACACATGCTGAAGACCAGTGGTAGAAGCCAGCAAGTGTGAAAATTTGGACTCTGTGTCCTTCAGTGACAAAAAGGGCAACAAAATTGTCTTTGGTCTGGAAAGAGCATTTACCTCTAAGTTAGTGTACAGTTAGAGGAAATTCTAAATTTAATAAGGAGTGGTGGTGATCTCAAACCTAGAGAAGACATGCTTTCCTCACTGTGAGGGGAGATGCTGGGCTGGTCATGGCCCTGTTATGCAAGCACAGATTCTATCTGCTAGCCGGAGTCCCTGGTGTTCCCTTTCTGTGGTAACACTGGCCTTCCCCTCTCAAGAATTCTTTGCCCTGGCTGAGCTCTACCTGTGACCTCAGGATACCAGGTGGCCCTCAGAGCACACTTTTCCAGAGAGCTGAAGGAGTCTCCTGTGTTGGTGGGCCCAGCACTGAACGGTAGTGGGCCTAAGGGAAGGGCTCTTGTTTGTACTGGTTCCCTGTCTTTCTGTACCTCCAGTTTGCAGTCTTGTCATCTCAGGATATGGGGGGAGAGGCACAGCAGAACCGGGGGTCTAGATTTAGTTTAATTTTCTGACCAAGTTGAGAGGCAAGTTGGTCTTTGGTCTTACAGAGAGCACTATTGCACTTAGCTAAGTGATTCTGAGCAAACCACATGATTTTCCTAGGTTGTTTTCTCATCTACACACCAAGGAATTGGGCTGTCAAAGCTTTCGGTAAGAATCAGGGTGAATGAAAAATGATCCTCGCTTTCATCACTACCATTTCTGGCTCGTCACTGTGCCTTTTTTCTTTCCTCAGAATCATGTCACACCCATTCCTCTCTTCTGTTCAACTGCCCCTCTCCCTTCCCCCATCAGGGTCCAGGCGGAGCTGCACATTTAGGCCAAGATCCAGAGTTTCCTAGAGTGTGATTTTGAGTGGCTTACAGAGGGAAGCCTGACTCTGGCCTCTTTAATCCTGCAGAGTTTCGAAGGGCCCTTGGTCAGGATGGGTGGCACTTCTCTTGCTGGGAGCATCCATTTAGTCAGTTTTCCTAACGCCTAGAATGTGTATGTCCATTTGCACAAGATTGTCTTTTCCTATTTTGGAGTGGTCATTTTTATTTTTGTTCCAAATTATCTGGAGTTTTAGACAAACTTGCAAAACTGTGCTTTTATTAAGTGACTTTTTGAATAAACTCTTTGGTATTCTTGAGCAAATGTATTTATTTACTGGTATGTGCAATGACAAAGTTGGTATTTTCCCATGTTGACATTATATATGTTGTAGAACTTAGTGTTTGTCTAAGTACAGACCATATAGCAACAAATTAAACTTGAACTGTTTCAACACTACTGTGTACTTTTTTCCTATAAAAGGGGAAAAAACATTTCTTACCTACAAGTGTTTTCCTATACCATTCATTCCATTTGTCCTGAGAGCCTGGGGGTGGGGGGTGGGTAGGAAGGGCTCACAGCTGGTTTGGAAAAACTACCGCTGTCTTCCCTGTGGCCGAGCTTGTCATATTTAAGGCTGGGAAGGGCTGGATAGAAGAGACTTTGGTTAGAGTAGTTCTCTGTGAGCAGGTATGGTTTGGTTCCTCAGTATGCCCCTAGGGGCCTGGTTCTTAGGACAAAAGTAAATAGAGCTGGTTTATTTTTTTTTACCCTAGATTTGGAGTTTTTAGGTGGCCAAGACGTTGAAAAAACCACAGCCCAGCTCCTTGGCTCCGTGGGAAACAGCAGATGCAGGTTCTAACCAGAGGTTTTTATTGGTTAGTGGTCAGATGAAAGACAAATCTTTTAAACAGCCACAGTCAAGGTGACCATAGGTCCAGGGCAGTCCCAGTTTATACCTGTTGTCCTGGCATCATTCTAATTCAAGCTCCCTTTTTTCGGGGTGTCTTAGTTTGGACCATGAGTTATCTGATCACCCGAGCCATAGCAGACACAGAGAGAGTGGTTCTCGTAAGCCATCTCTTCTAAAGGTCAAATATGCCTCCATTCTTCAACATGCTTTCCTTCCTGGGCCTAGTATTTTTTTAGAGCATGTGCACTGCTAGTCCTGGAACTCACAAGGCACTTTCCTTGTGCTCCTCCTCGGACCAGGAAAGGTGCTCTCCTGACTGGCTCACCCACCTGACTTAGCCAAGCATGGTCCCAGGTGATGCCCTTGTTTCCTAGGCCATTTATCCATCCCCAGAGCTAGGACTTCATGCTCTGTGCCACAATGCTCTAAGGGCACTGAGGACCTAGTAACTCGGGTCTGATCAAGTTCACAGCCCAGGCCAGTTCTGAGAAGTGAAGACCATAAGGAAAGAGCACATATGACAACAAAAGCCAGTCCTATGATTTTGGTCATCCTGGGTTGTATATACACGTAATTGTCATCCATGAAGGATAAAATAATTCTGGGAAATCCAAAAAGTACTAATGTGAATGACCAAATACATCAAATTTCTAAAACATAAGTATGTTAATATATCCCAGCTGTATAAGCCAACCAAGAGTTGTGGGCAGCAGGAACTTCCATGAACTCTTAGTACTTCTGGCAGGAGATGGTTTCATAAGCCAATTTCCCCCAAAGATTAATATTCAAAATATAGAGTTGGTTACACGACAACTTACATACCAGCCTCATAAAAATGCCTGAACATGCACATACTTCTGCACTTGTCACTGTTTTGTCCAACACCACTCTGCCAAGAATGACCGTTCTCTTTGTTGGCCGCTGGAGAAGTCTTAGCATGCCCGAAGATCCAGCTCTGCAGTAAAGCTTCTTGGAAGTACTTTGGCAAAAATGATCTCTGTGTTTCTGCAGATTTGGATCCATGTCTCAATTACAGCATAAAACCTTATACAATAAAAGTAAGTTAGCTACCACCTAGTGAGTGGTTAGCATGGAGAAGATGGGAGGGCCAGTGTGGTTTTAAATGCACTGATGATTCACATATAATTCTCCTACTCACCCTGGGAGAGCTGGACTTCGACTCCCCTGTGTCAGGAGAAAGCCAAGACTCAGAATAGGCAGGGATGGAATCATGACCAGTATTTCTCTGCCTACAGAATTCATAATCTTGAACCCTTTTATTGTTAATCATTCATTTTAAAAAACTGGGCAAGGTTCCCATTCTAAACTTTGTTTCTTAAAGGTAGGAACTAAGGCTCTGTTCCTACTCCCCAGCTCTGGGCAGTGTCTGCTAAATGAATAAATGAATGAATAAGCTGGAAAGAAACAAGCATCTCTAATAAGGGAACCATATATACGGAGGCAGAAAAGAAGGAACCAGGGACCCAGGACTCTTTATAAATCAACTGCTCATGGTGAAAAAGGGGAAAGAACGGGGAAAATGATTTATCGAAACAGTAGAGAGCACGTACGTTCTTTTGTTTACCGTGAGCATTACATCTAGACCACTTCTCGTACATTTTAAACTACACTCTTGAAAGTGAATCAAAGGTTCCACACACAGATGGATGCAGTATACTTTCCTACAGACTCAATCTTCAATGACTTCTCTGTAACAAGAAATGTTAATTTCATTAATAAGAAATGCTTAGTAGTAGCTGACATATTATCTAAATATCCCATAACTTTCTGATAGCAGTCTATATGCTTATATGTTTGATTTCAACTATTTTTTTCTGGCATTTTAGTTGGCCAGGAACAATGGAACTCCAAAAGCCCTTTCAACCTTTACATCATTTCTTAGTTTTCAAGTCTTCCACATTCCATGCCAAGGAATGTTCTCGGGAATGTGTCCTCTTTAAACTCTCAGGTCCTACATCTAAACTGAATTTACTCATCCTTACTAGACAGGATACATGGGGGCCATCTTACCTCAAGACATGTGACAAGTGCACCTTAGAGATTAGGTCTTTAGTTTCGTCAAAATCCTCCTAGTCTTGACCTACCTCCTCCTTTTCCCAGCTTTCTCAAAAGACCCAGATACCTGAATATAGAATAGTCTCTTCCCCTGGGCACTGCTATACGTTCTCTGCAGCAGACACACACTGCAACTTTCCTTTCAGGTTGGCACTTTGTCTATAAGTTCAGTCCTCGGTAAGAACAAATTTCCCAGAGGGCACAACATTTAGAAATAGCTTCTAGACAGGGACTGTCCTTAAGTACATGGGTTCGCTCCCTACCCTCGGCTCTCCAGCCTGGGCATCTCGAGGAGGACCACCGCCCTTATGCAGGTTTTTGTGTAGCCTCACCAGCCTCCAACCTTGGCTCTGCAGGACAGAGATTAAAGTCTCTATTTAAAGCTTCCTCTGGCCACTGAAGGCCAGAGGTACAAAGATGCTTCTGGGCTGGCAGTTCTGTGAAACAGAACAGGGATAAAGGAAGTGAGAGACCCAGCAGCAGCAGAGTAACAGTCCCTCAGCTGATCGCTGCACTCATTCACAGGGCGCTGGGAGCCTTCTGCTACTCTGGGGAAAAGCAGGCATCTGAGGCAGCAACAGTGCTCCTAAAAAGGCCCCCACTGTGAGGAAGGGGCTTCAGTTCGCACAGCAGTCTTCCCCTGCTCTGGCCCCATCATACCCTCTAAGAAAATGTTCTCTTCTTAAACCCAGAGGACCACGAACCTGCTCAAGGCCCACAGAGTAAGGCATCCTGGACTCTCTAATCCTCACTTCTGCAGCCTTAGGTCCTCATCATGTGTAAACTGATGTCTGTTCATAGGTACACCATCTGGTACTCCCAGCTCGAAGAGTCAGACCTCTGCCCCTGAGTGCACAACAGATCAAACATAATTACTCAGTGGATCAGCTCTCTGGTGGAGAGGCATGGTGGGAAAGAGTGAAGCTGTACTGTGTTTCTACTAATTGCTGTGGTGTTTTACAAGGTGACAGGTGTGTGAGCACCAGGAAGGATACATGATATCCATGGTAGTGGCCTGATTAGCTAGGATATTTAAATACAGAATGAAGTTTAGGGCACAGGGCCAAGGATGAAAACTGAGACAGGATAGAAAGGTCACCTTGGCACTAGAGTAATGGATACTTCCCCAAATCAGCTGTTTTCAACTCAAAACTCTGGGGGTTCCGCTTCCTCAGCGTGCCACCTGTATGCACTTTATCAGGGCTGATGCCCAAGCCGCCATCTCTGAAGTCTTGAGGCCAGACTTCTTTGGTGGTTTCCTCTTGCTCAGTGTAAGTGTCCGCACTGAATCCAGCATTCTCTGCCAAGACCGCAGGATCCTCTTCTTCATGAAAGCAGCAGGAGCAGGTTTGTGGCTTTGGGTCACATGAGGTAACAGAATTCTCTTCCTGGGCTCTGGGGTCAGTGGGCATTTCCCAGCCCAAATGGTCTGATTCTTCACCTTCTAGCACTCCGATTCTTTCAGCTAGTTCTTCAGCAGAGGGCTCTTTGGGGTCTGGGTAATCCACCAGGATTGTTTCTTGCCTATGCTTGATGCAATCTGAAAGGTCATAAATTGGGTAAGTCTCTTCAGGGTAACCTAGAGAAAAAAGTAGCACAAAGTCTTACAAAGAATGTCTCTTCAACAGAAAGTATCAGGCTCAAAGAATCTTCTCAGGCAGCAGCCATCCTAGCCCAGCAAGTCCATTCAAGAAATCTCTAAGATGGGGGCGCCTGGGTGGCTCAGTGGGTTAAAGCCTCTGCCTTCGGCTCAGGTCATGATCTCAGAGTCCTGGGATCGAGCCCCACATCGGGCTCTCTGCTCAGCGGGGAGCCTGTTTCCTCCTCTCTCTGCCTGCCTCTCTGCCTACTTGTAATCTCTGTCTGTCAAATAAATAAATAAAATCTAAAAAAAAAAAAAAAAAAAAAAAAGAAATCTCTAAGATGACTAACAGTTCTAAAGTTTTACTTGAATAAATTCTTAGCGATCTGGTGGACTATTCAGTGTTTTTTGAAATGCAAACCAACTCATTTTGGTTTGTATCTCAAAAAACACTGGGATAGTCCGCCAGATCGCTAAGAAGAAAATCCTTTCTCAAGTCCAGGGTGGTTAGGGCAGGGTAGAAGTCTCGCCCCTCTGGCTTCTGCAGTAGTGACAAAGATTAAACAAAGTGAGCCTTCAATTAAAAAAAAAAAAAAGTACCAAACACCAGATGGAGAGAGCATTAGCTCAAGGCTATTGTTTATAATTTCTATTTGGATCCATTTCTGAATCTTCCTAGGACTGGTGTTGGGGTTCGGAGGGGGGTGGTTAGTGGGTGGAGAAAAGGAAGACTAAGGCTTTGGAAAAAAAAAAATACCACGAGGGCTCTGACTAATGGAAACAACTGAAATGGCTTGCAAGTGTCAGAAAGAGAGAGCACACTTCAGCAAGACGTGCCCAAGATCCCAAAGGACAAGCACTGCGTTTTCACAAGACACAATTCCCATTATTGGCTTCTTTGTCCCCATAAAATGGAACAAAAGAAGACAACAAACCAGGAAACAAAATGAGTAATACTGGTACTGAATCCTAGCTAGGATAATGAGAAAAGACGAGATGTTGCCAAATTAAAGGATGAAATGAAATAAATCTGTGTCAGCCAAGCTGCGTGGAAAGCAGCAGATGGACCTTGCTGGACTCACACACTGGCCCTGGCCTAGCAGCCAGGGGCCGGGCACAATGTGGGAAGCCGGAGAATGCACAATCCATTTGCACACTGTGATAATTGGCAGGTTCAACCTGAATGCCAACCACTTTTTTGCCTGCAAAGTCTGAAAAGCAGGGTTTTTTGATGCAGTGGAGTGTGGAGAGACATATTTTAACAACATTTACTGTTGTTTTTTTTTTCTGATTATAAAAGTTATACAAACTCATTACAGAAAATTTTTAAAAACACAGACAAGTTTTAAAAAGAAAACACAAGTCACCCAGAATCCCACCACTGATAATAATTTGTTGTGTTACTTCTGGCCTTTTTATCGTATATAAACATACTGTGTATAAAATGTTACACTCTGATTTCTGAAATTCAACATTCTATTGTGAGCTGCAAAATATCCCATCATATAGCTACATAACTGACACGACTGGCCGTGTCTCTTCTGTAAGACATGTAGTCTTTCCAATTTTTTTTAAAAAAATGATGATATGTTAGTCACCATACAGTACATCATTAATTTCTGATGTATTGTTCTAAGATTTATTGTTTGCCCAGTGCTCCATTCAATCTGTGCCCTCTCTAATACACAACAAGGGGATCAACCATCCCCCCACCTGCCTGCCACCCAAACGCTCTGTTTCCCAAGTCCATAGTCTCTCATGGTTCATCTCTGACGCCGATTTCCGCCCCCTTCATTTTTCCCTTTCCAATTTCCCCTTATTATAAGTAACATGGCAGTTAAGATCTCTGAATATAAATCTATGTCCACTTCCCTACTTCTTTAAGACAGACCACTAGAAATGAGAGAACTCAAGGGACTAGACATTTTCAAAGCCTGTTTTTACACTCCACCAAATTGCTTTCCAGAAGAATGTATATTTTCTGTTCTACCAGTGATATAAAAAATTGTCCATCTGATCACATCCTCATCATCACTGCCAGTGGCATGTGAAGAATCTTGCCAAGGCAGTGTCAGTCCACTGGCTTAACTGTGGACAGAATGCTAGGTAAAACAGAGCTTAGCTATCCACAGCCCTCAACAGCCTACTTGGTCAAGGACAGGGGCTGGAGCAGCTTACTTGCTAGTTAGCTCTCAGCCATGAATACTTAAGAGAAGTCCACTTTATTCTCTACACCAAGGACCAAGCTTACCTTTGGAGTTCCATGGCTATCTGCTTTTGTTTAATAGGGGAAGGCCTGCTAAGGAAAACAAATAGTGACTCACAAATGGGCTGCTGAGGTTCCTCATTATCAGCCAACATCACTGGTTATTTAAGAACTTCATTAAAAATATGAGCAAGCTATAAAACTCATTGATCCTATGAAGTCAGCAGGGGAACCAAAAGAAGCAAACTGTGTAAACAGCCCCTAAAAAGAACAACAGTCAATGTTGGAAACAGGAGTTATCACCTTGTAACTGATATTCCCAGTACTGATATTCCCAGTAATATTCAAAAAAGTACTGCACTGGTAAAACCCAACCAGACTTCAATATAAAAAGGGAAGCAAACAGGAAATAAGAGCTGTTAGAAATAGAAAATATTTAAACTTGAAAAAGGAAGAAAATAAAATGGACAGGTCTAAAAGCCAAATTAGTAATACCAGAAGTAAATGTATAGGAATTCTTCTAAAACAAAGGTAAAAATGACAAAGTAATGGAAATTGTGAGGAAAAAAAAAAAACACAGACTACACTGAAAACTGATCCAGGACATCCAATCTCCAAATTGCTGGAATTCCAGGATGAGGGCAGAGTAGGTTAAATGGAAACAATAATTAAAAAAAAAAAAGTTACAAAAGAAAATATGTAGCTGAAGAAAGACTCAAGTCTTCAGATGGAAAAGAGTCACTAAATGCTAGGCAAAAATACTATGAAAAATCCACATACACACACTCAGATATATGCCAGTGAACCTGCCCAAATGCAGATGTTTAAGTATTAAAAGATCATATGTTTCCAGCCAGAAAACTAACTTAAAACAGACTGCCTATTGAGAAAAAGAATCAGGCTGTAATAAGATTTCTCATTTCCAACATCAAATGAAAGATAATACAGCAATGTTTTCAGACTTACAAAGAAAAATGGTATGATCAAATTATTTGTATAAAGGTGAAAAATGGTATGTGTAGATATCTAAGTACTCAGAAAGTACACCAATCTATAAGGGGATGAGAGGGTAGGGGGTGAAGGTACTTAAGAATTCTGACAAACACACACACACACAAATTAAAAATTTTGAGAACATACTGTATATGAAAAAGTGGTAAACAATGAATTAATAAGAATGATCAATGTAAACTAATTTTGATAATGTGGTTAGAAATTAATGCCATTTAATGGCTAGAAATTGTTGAAATACTTAAAATAGGCTAATATATTTGAAAGTTAGTATCACTTGGGAGCTAAAATTCTATATACTTTCAACATCACCTAAGAGAAAGACAGAAAATAAACCTGATAAAGATTTTACCTTATTTGGGAACAAGATTATATAAGAAGATTTGCAATTTAGAGGAGAAAATGAATTCCAATTTTCATTTCTTTGATTACTAGAGAGATTGAAGTACTTTTTAACATTTTGTAGCAAGGTGCATTTTTTTCTTTTGTGCACTGCTTACACGGGAGGATACAGTGTTTTATAAATTATAGAAGGCTTTATATATTAAGGGTATCGACTTCTTTTCAGTCGTTTGTTACAAATACTTTTTCTAGTTTAGTGTTGGGTTTAAGTTGTGTGGTGTTCTCTAATCTACAGAAAGTAAAGGTTTTACATATTTAGGGTACATTATCCTTTCCTTTAAAATTTTTTTCATTGCTTTTAAAAAATTTAATTGCAGTTTCACATGTAGTTGTAAAAAAAATATATATAGAAATCCCTCTTGTACCCTTTACCCAGTTTCTCCCAATGGTAATATCTTGCTAAGCTATACAACAGTACACAGAATAGGTGTAGCAATAAAAGGGCATAAGGGATCCTTGTGGATATTCTATATAGAACATTTCTACCACAAGGATCCCTTATGCCCTTTTATTGCTACACCTATTCCCTCTTGCCCCCTATTTCCTCCTTAACTTCTGGCAACTACTAGTCTGTTCTCCATTTCTATAATTTTATTTAAAGAATGTTATATAATTGCACAATATGAAAACTTTTGGAATTAGACTTTTTCACTCAGTATAATTACCTGGAAGTTCATCCACATTGTTGCATGTATAAATTTCTTTTCATTGCTGAGTAGTATACCAAAGTATCAGCACACCACAGTTTGTAACCATTCACCTACTGAAGGATGTTTGGGTTGTTAGCAGTTTGGGGTGACTATAAATAAAGCTGCCATAAATATTCATATATAACTTTTATATGAATTTAAGTCTTAAGTTCTGGGATACATGCCCAGGAGTGCAACTTTCAGGCTGTACAGTAGTTGAAGGTTTGTGTAACTGCCAAAATGTTTTGCAGAGTAAGTGTACATCCCCGCCAGCAATGTATGAGTGGATCTAGTTTCTCCATGTCCTTGCCAGCATTTGGTGTTGTTACTGTTTTTTATTTTAGCCATTCTGACAGATGTATTGTGGTTATTTCATTGTGATTATAATCTTCAGAGAGAATTCTTCATGTTTTTAGCTGATTTCTGTTCTGCTCTGTGCATATATGTGAAAGAACTACCCAAGGCCAGGAGAAGAACTACTGACAGCATTAGGCCCAAAAATTCTTGGCACTCATACATAGCTGGGAATAGTTCATGTTCCTACTAGCCACCGTAGAAAAACATTGTAGAGCCATCAGACAGAATCCTAAGAAGGGTACTGCCTTATTAGTGGGGCTAAATTAGCCAGAGTAAAGGCTGCTCTGGACCCATTATCACAAATCTTAAAAACAAGCCTTAAAGGAATCCACCTGATTTAGGTAACTTAACTGTGGGTTAAGAAGAAGTCCAACAACTATTTAAAGTAAAATCCAGAGTCCAATAATGTAAAACCTGCAATATCCATCATCCAGTCAAAATTTACTAGGCATGCAAAAAGGGCATGAAATTAGGCCCCACAGCAAGGAGAAAAATTAATCACTAGAAATAGACCCAGATGATAAGATTAGCAGCTAAGACTATTAAAGAAGCTATTACAAATATGCCTTATAAAGAAGGTACAAGACTATATGAGAAATGAAATATTTAAGAAATGAAAGATGTAAAAAAGACCCAAACAGAATGTCTAGAAATTATAATATCTGAATTAAAAATACATCAAATGAGACTAAGAGGAGATCATATACTACTAAAGAAAAGGTTAACAAACTAAAGGCACATCAAGAAGAATTATCCAAAATTAAGCATGGTACGTATTAGAGAACAGACTATACACAACCTATAGGGCAATTTCAAAAGTCTAAACAAATGTGCAACTTAAGAATCAGAAATGGTGAGGAGGAAGATAGAAAGAGAAAGAGAGAGGTTATTAATAAAATAATGGCCAAAGTGGTTGTGTTGGGGGGAATCAATCAAGGATCGAGGCTGCCACCTTTAGAAACTAGAAAAAGAAACTGCAAATTAAAACAAAGGGAGCAGAAGGAAGAAAACAATAAAGCAGAGAAATCAAGGAAATAGGAAACAGAAACCAAAGTACAGTTCTTTGAAAAGATATAAACCTCTGGCCAGTCTGATCAGGAAAAAATTTAGAGAAAGAACAAATTACCAGTATCAGGAATAGAACAGAGAACATCCCTATACATTACATACATTAAATGAATATAAACAACTTTATTCTAATAATACATTTGACCATTTAGAAGAAATACATAAATTCCTTGAAAGAAACAAGCTATGAAAGCTCATTCAAGAAGAAATAATCTGTGTAGCACTATATGTGTTAAAGAAATTCAATTTGTAGTTATGTAAGTCTTACCAATAAGAAAACTCTAGGCCCTGATGGTATCACTGGAAAATTCCATATTTAAGAAAGGAAATAGCAATTCTATACAAATGCTTCAGAAAATACAAGGAACACATTACAATGCATTACCATGCAATCAAAACCAAAAAGATGACAAGAAAGCAAAAGCACAAACAAATATCCCTTATAAACACAAAATTAAAAAGTCCTTAGCAGGGCACCTGGGTGGCTCAGTGGGTTAGGCCTTTGCCTTCGGCTTGGGTCATGGTCTCAGGGTCCTGGGATTGAGCCCCGCATCGGGCTCTCTGCTCAGCGGGGAGCCTGCGTCCCCCTCTCTCTGCCTGCCTTTCTGCCTACTTGTGATCTCTCTTTCTCTGTCAAATAAATAAAATCTTAAAAAAAAATTTAAAAAGATAAAAAAAAAAGTCTTTAGCAAATTGAACCTAGCCATATAGAACATCATAACAAAATAGATTTTATCCCAGGAATGTAAAGTTGTTTAAACATTCAAAAAAAAAAAATCAATGTAATTCACTGAATTAATAGATGAAAACAGAAAAACAAGATCTCAGTTAACAAAAAGCATTCCGCAAAATTAAATATCCATTTGTGATTAAAAACTCTCAGCAAGGGCGCCTGGGTGGCTCAGTAGGTTAAGCCTCTGCCTTTGGCTCAGGTCGTGATTCCAAAGTACTGGGATCGAGTCCCACATCGGGCTCTCTGCTCGGCAGGGAACCTGCTTCCTCCTCTCTCTCTCTCTCTCTCTCTCTCTGTCTACTTGTGATCTCTCTCTGTCAAATAAATAAATAAAATCTTTAAAAAAAAAAAAACAAACCTCTCAGCAAAGTAACACTGGGAGGAAGGTTCCTCAACCTGAAAAGGAGCATCCATGAAAAGCCAACAGCTCACATCATACTAATAATGGAGAATGTGTGAGGGCTTCCCCCTAATATCAGGAAAGCAAGGATGTCAGGCCTCACCACTTCTATTCAGTATTGTGTGACAGTTTCTGACAAGTACAATAAGGCAAGAAAAATAAAAGACATATTGATTGGAAAGTTAGAAGCAAAACTGCCTATTCACAATTTGATTCTCTATGTAGAAAATTCTATGAAATTTAATCTTAAGAGATCTAAAGAAAAAAAGCTACTAGAACTAAGTGTGTTTAGAAAGGTGATAGGAAACAAGGTCAGAATAAAAAAATAATTGTATTTCTATATAGTAGCAAGCAATTAGAAATTTTAAAATAAACACAATATCTTCAAAAATATGAACTACTTAAGCATAAGTTTATAAAACATGTATAAGATGTATACATTGAAAACTATAAACTGAAAAATTAAAGATCTAAATAAATGGTGAGATGTAAAATGTTCATGTACTGAAAGATTCAATATTGCTATAATGTTAATTCTTCCAAATTGATCTAAAGATTCAATATGATGCCGATAAGAATCTCACTGGACTTTTTCATAGAAACTGACATACTGATTCTACATTTATGTGAGAATATGAAGGGCCTAAAATCACCAAAATAATTTTGAAATAAAAGGGGGAAAGAAAAACCAAGTTGAATTTGTGCTACCTGATTTCAAGACTTAATATACACAGTGATAAAGACATTGTGATATTGTTAGAAGTATAGACATGATTTCACTCATATGTGAAATTTAAGAAACAAAACAAATAAAGAGAAACAGGGGTACCTGGGTGGCTCAGTTGGTTAAACGTCTGCCTTTGGCTCAGGTCATGATCTTGGGGTCCTGGGATCAAGCCCCACATCAGCCTCCCTGATCAGTAGGGACTCTGCTTTCCCCTCCCCTGCTCATCATCTCTCATTCTCTCTCTCTCAAATACATAATAAAATTAAGAAAAAAAAAAGCCTCAGACTCTTAAATATAGGAAACAAATTGGTGGTTGCCAGAAGGGTGAGTAGGGGATAGATGAAATAGGTGAAGGGGATTAAGAGTCGTCAGTTATCACGATGAACACTGAGTAATGTATAGAATTGCTGAATCATATTGAACACCTGAAACTAATAACATTGTATGTTAATTATACTTGAATAAAAAAATTTTAAAGAGAATCCAGAATAGACCCACCCATACATTGTCAACTGATTTTCAAACATGCCAAAGTAATTAAATGTTCCAAAATAAATAGGAATAATTGGATATCAACATGGAAAAAACAATTAATCTCAGTCCTAATGCTTCACACCATATATAAAAACTAGCTCAAAATGGCTCCTGGGCCTAAATATAAGTTAAAAGTATAACACTTCTAGAAGAAGAAAATATAGGAGGTAGGCAAACGAGTTAGGTAAAGATCAGAAAAGAGAAAAATGATAAACTGAAGTTCATTATAATAAAAATTCTGCTCTTTGAACAATGCCACTAAGAAAATAAAAGGGAAAGCCACAGTTTAGGAGAAAATATTTGTAACATATATAACTGATAATAAACTTATATCCAGAATATAAGAACTTATGTAAATCAATAAAAACAAATCAACCCAATTAAAAAACTGACCAACAATGTGAACAGACACTTTACTAAAGATACACAGATGGTGAATGAATACATTAAAAAATGTTCATCATTATTAGTCATCGGGGAAATGCACATTAAAGTTACAATTAAGATACCAATACATTCACTAGAATGGCTAAAAGTAAAAAGACTGACAATACCAAGTGTTACCATGGATGCAGAGTAACTCTAATACTCATACATTGCTGGCAGAAGGCAAAATGGCAAAGCCACTTTGGAAAACAGGTTGACAAGTTTCTAAAAATGTTGAACATACACGTAACATAAAACATAACATAAAAGCTCAGAAAAAAATCTCATTCCTAGGATATACCCCAAAGACATAAAAATATATGTTCAAACAGATGTGTATGCACAAGTTCATAGCAGCTTGATTCATAATAGCTCAAAGCTGGAGACAACCCAAATGTACTTAAACTAGTGAATAGAAAAACAAACAGTATTTCCTTGTAACAGAATACTACTAAGTGATTAAAAAAAAATACTGATACATTTAATGCATGCTCTCAAAAGCATTATGCTAAATTAAAGAAGCCAGAAACAAAAGAGCATATGCAATATGACCCATTTATGGTAAAACTATAGGGACAGAAAGTGGTTATATTGTTGCCAGGACAGTTGAAGGGATTCCCTCTAAAGGGGAAGGGAATTTTCTGAGAGGATGGAAGCATCCTAGATCATGATTGTGGCATAGTTATACCACTCTACACATCTGTCAAAACTTACTCAACCAGACACTTAAAACTGGTGAATTTTATTATATATACATTATATTTAAAAACATTTTTAAGATCTCTTTTCTGAGGGGCACCTGGGTGGCTCTGTGGGTTAGAGCCTCTGCCTTCGGCTCAGGTCATGATCTCAGGGTCCTGAGATCGAGCCCCGAATCGGTCTCTCTGCTCAGCAGGGAGCCTGTTTCCTCCTCTCTCTGCCTACTTGTGATCTCTCTCTGTCAAATAAATAAATAAATAAAATCTTTAAAAAAAAAAAAAAAAAAGATCTCTTTTCTGGGCTGACAGCTAACCAAGAAATGACAAGACACTGTTTACCTTCCCAGTCTTCCATGTAAGGGGCCTCTTCAGCTTCTTTCTCTGGAGTGGGTCTGTCAGTGAATTTTCCTTCTTTTATGACCCTGGTGATTTCTCGGAGCTGATGCAGCAACCGTTTTTCTTGGTCAGAAGTCACAGTCTGTGCTCTGCTTAGAGATATTAGACAACCCAGCCATTTAATGGTAAATGAACTCCTGGGCAATGAACATAGACATCATTATGACCTTTCTGGATCCTAGAATAGGATGTCCAAGAGCAGCAGGTAAGTATTCTAGAAATTGGCCCTGGCAATGCACAGCTGAAAACTAGGTATGTTAGTTCAATGTTCTGATTTTATAAATGCAGAAACTAAGGCCCAGAAAAGATCAAATGATTGCCCAAGGTCCCACAATGAATTAAGGTCAATAATGGCACCAGTACCCAGATGTTTCAGCTTTCAGTTCAGCGTTCTTTCAGTATACCTCACTGCCCTGATTCTCTAATCTCCAAGAAATGTCATTGTTACTCTTATTACCCATTTACTATAAACCACTTTTTTATGAAGCAAGGCCATCAAAAGAAAATGTACTGAGTCATTAGACTTAACTATGGAAAAATATCCTAGCCCAACACTGGAATCACTAGGCTGCATCTACTTGTGCAGAAATAAAGATACTCCCTGTACATTTCAGAGCTGTGTCATTCTGACAAATCAGTCATCTAGACCAGAGAAACTGAGGCCCACAGAGGGGAAATTCTACATTTACTCCTATCGCTAGTTCATGTCATCACCTGAACTACAACTAAAGTCTCCTGACTTCTGATAACATTCTATGCAATTCTTAAAGCACAATGCTCAAGTTCCAGTTTAGAAAACCTGGGTTTGAGTCCCAATTTAGCTGAATAACTCTGGGCAAATGTGTACAAAAATGAGGCTCAAGATTAATGGTAGGATGATTTTCTTTGAGATGGAAGCTCAGCATCACACTCATAGGCAGACAAAGTCCTACTCAGAAGACTTGAGAACTGGTTTGGGACCAGTTTTATTTAGTGGCAGGATTTAACGGAGACTACTTATTCTCCTCTTAAAAATACAAATCATTCAGGGACGCCTGGGTGGCTCAGTGGGTTAAAGCCTCTGCCTTAGGCTCAGGTCATGATCCCAGGGATCGAGCCCCACATCGGGCTTTCTGCTCAACGGGGAGCCTGCTTCCTCCTCTCTCTCTGCCTGCGTCTTTGCCTACTTGTGATCTCTGTCTAATAAAAAAAAAAAAAATCTTAAAAAAAAATACAAATCATTCCATGGCAATATAAATTCATGAAGGAAAAATGACCTTTAATACTAGCCTCCAAGAGGTGCCTTCAATTTTTTCTAATCAGCCAGTCTCCAGTTTGTGTTCCTGTTTATGCTTAGCCTAACAAACTTTAGCCTTAATGACTAATGGGAAAAAAGTGTTCCTCCCACCAGTGTTAGGATGGTAAGTGAGGAAAATGAAGGTGCAACTTTTCCACAGACCTACCAGTGGGGAGAAAACAGAAACACCATGAGCTCCATTTCTTCCACACTAAAGGGCCTCACAGCCATGAAGCTGAAGAAGCCTGTCTGTCCCACATTCAGCTAAAATCTTACCTGTAGCAGGCCTCTTGCAGTTCTATTCTTTCTATCCATACAGGAATCCTGACCTGTCACAACTGCTCATCTGCTCTATAGAACTCCTAATTCTTACTATTACAACAACTCACTTTGTGGGGAGTTTCTGACTCAGCTAAAAGAGCCCATTTGTTAGAATCTAAAATATAGAAAGAACTTCTAAAACTCAACACCCAAAAAACAAATAACCCAGTCAAAATATGGACAGAAGACATCCAGAGACATTTTTCCCAAGACAATGTACTGATGACCAGTAGGCACATGAAAAAATGCTCCAACATCACCATTACAAAAAAATACAAATCAAACCCATAATGAGATATCACCTCACACCTGTCAGAATAGCTAAATCAAGAACACAAATAACAGGTGTTCGCAAGGATGTGGAAAAAGGGGAACCCTCTTACACTGTGGTGGGAACGCAGGGTGGTGCAGCCACTCCAACAAACAGTATGGAGGTTTCTCAAAAAGTTAAAAATAGAGCTGCCCTATGATCCAACAATTGCACTACTGGGTATTTACCCAAAGGATACAAAAATACCGATTCAAAGGGGTACACGTATCCCGAGGTTTATGGCAGCATCATCAACAACAGCCACGCTATGGCAAGAGCCCAAATATCCACTGACTCATGAATGGATAAAGAAGATGTGCTATACATATACAGTGGAATATTACTCGGCCATACAAGAATGTAATCTTGCCATTTATAATGACATGGATGGAGCTAGAGAGTACTATGCTAAAGGAAATAAGTCAAGTACCGTATGATTTCACTCATATGTGGAATTTAAGAAAGAAAACAGATGAACATAGGAGGGAAAAAGAGGCAAACTAAGAAACAGACTCTTAACTATGGAGAACCAACTGAAGGTTACTGGAGGGGAGATGGGTAGGGGGATGGGTTAAACGAGTGATGGGGATTAAGGAGGGCACTTATTGTGTTGAGCACTAGGTGTTATATGTTAAGTGATAAATCACCAAATCCTACACCTGAAACTAATTTTTCACTGTATATTAACTGGAATTTAAATAAAAACTTGGAAGGAAAAAAAAGAGCCTATGTGCTTATCACAGAGCTCTGGCCCTGGGATGCACGTGTTACTTGTCTGGACTGTACTCAGTGCATTTTCATTTTTACTGAATGAAACAGTCTTGACTCTGTTTCCTAACTCATGGAAAACCAGAACTCCTAAGAATTCTTAAAAGAGATAGGTTGGCTAGGAGAAGCAGAAACAGGCAAGTGATGCTTTCTCAGAAAATTCTAAATAAAAGCATTCTCTTTTACCTCTGAACAAGCATATTCCTATTGTCCATATCATGCATTAGGTAATTAATCATGGTCTGCCTCACAGCTTCTGAATTTATATAATGACTGTTTTCATAGATTCCTCATTGTCTCAGTTCGTCTGATAGTCCTGGAGGATGCTAGTAAGTTCAGGACAGTACAGGCACTGTGCCATGAACAATGCAAGCACTAATAAGTATGTGTCAGTTTAATTGGTCCCCATTTCCTTACCACCTGTTTTCTCCCACCTCCCTGAAATCTGGCTTCTACTCCATCATTATACCAAAATTTGTGACAATCATCAATAACACTTTACTCTCAAGTCCAAGAATCTTTTTTTTTTTTTTTTTTTTACATTTTATTCTTGACTTCTCTGTACTATGGGCCATCGTCTCCTTGAAATGTTATCTTCCCTTGGCTATTGGGACCTCTGTTTTCCTCCCACTTTATTCCTTGGACCTCTCATCCTGCCTCACTTACCCCCATTCACCTCCTAAATACATGGATTTTCTGAAGGCTCAAACCTTGGGCTCTCACTTGTCCATTCTTATAGTCATGCCCTCAGGAAGCAGACCCAGTGTCACAAATTAAACCAATGCCTCTACATAGATGAAACCCACACTCTACCTCTAATCCTGACTTATCACATGAAAACCAGTCTCAAAACTCCAGTGATCTAGGCCTTTCCACTTAGAAGCCTTGCTATTAATGAAGTTAATCTTAAATTCACTCTTCAAAACCGGGGCTTAGTTGGCCCAGGATGAGGAGCAGCTGCATGAGCAGCCAGGTTTGGAGAGGCTGGATAGAGCAGATTTCAAGATGCTAGAAAAATAGAAGGTCAAGTTAGAAGATACTTGATCAGACTCTGAATATTATAAACCCAGAGGAATCATCAAGTTCTGGATCTAAAAGTAAAGCAGAGAATGAAAGTTTCTTACAACACCATTCATGATTAGAACAGAATTCAGACCAGCAAAAGATTGCAAGCAACTGCCACACAGTATGATGTACCTCAAGAATTTGATCTCATCTCTCCCCATGGCCCTTACTTACCTCCAGCCAAATGACTTCCAAACTTGTGTCCTTGGTTCTGACATCAATATCCAAACTTCCTATTGTTGTTCCACAACATACATAGATGTTCTGATCGCACCTCAACCATATTCAAAGCTGAACTCAAAGCCGATCCCTATACCAAAGTCCTGTTTTCTTTCTCCTCTTCTATGTTTTTATGTTGGCTGATATCATCATTTTCCTGGTCATTTGCACCACAAATCTCCAACTCCTCTTTATCTCTTTCTTCTCTTTCATTGCTATTACCTAGTTTTCCTTTTGGGGAACCAACCCCTCTTTTGCTCATAGTACAAAGGTTAGAGTGAAGTTCTCCATTCCCTTACCTCTCCTTCAACAGTGGCCACGTGGCCCATAGCCAATCATCACACTCAATCCCTTGCTGCAGTGACTGATTCAGTGATACACACAGGACCCAAGTTGGACCAGCTGTACTTTCTCCTAAAACTGAGTGTTAAATGCAATGAAGCCAGATCTGAAAACTTGTCATGTTAATTCATTCTGACAGCAGAACTTGAAGAACCTGTCCATTTGTTTCTGTCCTCTAACTCCCCAGAGCTTCTCTGGTTCCCCCTCTTTCTGAAACCTGGATTTTCAGCTATTCCTTTGATATTGTGAGCTAAGCCATACTTTTCCAATAAATTCTATCATCTTCTCCAAATTTTTGCTACCCAGAGTTGGCTATTTGCTACCAAGGATTCCTGAAAAGAGCCTGTAATTTTCAAAAAACTATTTATTCATTTATCTAAGTAATCTCTACACCTGACATGGGGCTCAAACTCAAAACCCCGAGATCAAGAGTTACATGTTCTTCTGACTGAGCCAGCCAGGTGCCTTCAGCATGAATTTTTTTTTTTTTTATTTTATTTATTTAAGAGTGAGCATGAGAGAGAGAATGAGTGGGCAGGAAGGGCAGAGAGAGTGGGAGAAGCAGACTTCCTGCTGAGCAGGGAGCCTGATGCAGGACTCAATCCCAAGACCCTGGAATCACGACCTGAGCCAAAGGCAGATGCCTCACTGACTGAGCTACTCAGGCACCCAACAGTCTGCGATTTTTTTTCCCTCCCTTTTGTCAAGTCCCCTTGATTTGCTGGAGCTTTTCCCATACCTTCTAGCATATAGCTACTCTACCTATCACTAGAAGAGTTACTTTTCTA